CATCCCTGCTAACGCCACACCAATCTGCCTGTCACATGACATTGTTTTATTGGTCTTTCTTTCTGTTGGCTTCACTGAGCAGGATAAGTTTCACTCCAGAAGTCATCCGCTTAAAAAGAAATTTTCTCCAAACTAAAAGGTGAAACAGGATTTCATGTCATCAAGTTGCAGACCAGTTATGGTTGATTTAGCAAATTCATACAAATAGGATGGGGAAACTTTAAACCCCAGGACACAGGTTGTTTAATACTTGGGAAAATTACTCAGATACATTCATGAAATATGGATTTTTAAATTTCTAATTAAAGTTAAAAAAAGTAATTATATGTGTCTCAATACCTTAACTTGTTGTGGGAATACATTTGTTTTTGTATACAGTAATATTTATAAAGCTGTAACCATGTCTGGAGAGAATATATAAATGACACCAGGTCTCCCTGAGCGTCCTGTCAGATCTCAGTGGCTTCCTTTCAGGCTTATGAATCAGACAAATATGGAATACTGTGGATATGAACGAATGTTTTCATAATGAAATTCATAGCAAAGGAATGTCTGAGGCTGAATGCACAATCTGTAAGAAAGTGAAACATTACATTGCAGTGGAATTAATTTTTCTATTTTCAAATATAATAGCAGTAATGCAGTTACTCAAGGTCTCCATTCGTCTTCTCAGACACCGATGTAATTTCTGTTTGGTCTGATTTCCCTCAGGCAGTCTTTGAAATAAAACCCCCATTTTGACCTGGTATTCCCACTTTGAGAGGATTTTATCTGATCACCGAGATGAGAGTCAAAAATTAACAAATAGCAGAATAATAATGTGTTGCTCAAAGTCTATCTGTCTGTCTGTCTGTCTGTCTGTCTGTCTAAAAAAATGAGGCTGGTGCAAACTGCAAATAACTGCAGTTTCTCAGGTGTCCATTACATAACACTCATTTTAAAATGCCTGTTTTTAGAGCAGAGTTAAACATATTTACTGACTACTTTAATAAATAATAGTGTTATTTATTTGATTTGGTGTCCCCTTTTTCTTCTAACAATAAATCAGATGATTTGTTTTAATAATTTAGCTTTTTTTCATTATGTAAAGGCTTCAAGTATTTATGACCTGAGGTTGAGTCAGTAGGTGAACTCATATTTAATGCAGTCTACAGTCCATTTTTCCATCTATCCTGTGACCATTTCTAAATATTTTTAACACATAGGGCTCTATTATTGTGCCCGCTGGCGGCACGGCGAGGGTGGTTGACCCAGTGGTATTTTCGTCTGGCAGAGCCTGGTGCACTGCCAGTTTGGTATTTTCGTGGACTGAGGCACACCAACCTGGGCATGGTGGCGCGGTAGGGGGAGGTGTCGACAGAATCAGCCGGCGCAGCGACATTTTCATGCTCGCCGGTGGCATATAAAGTGTGCTGAAAGCTCGCCGATTCAAACCTGGTCAGCTTTCAGCGCAGGCGGAGCCCAGGTAGTCTAGTGGTATTTTGGTAGACTGGCGGCGTAGAGCGCATATGTCACCAATCCCTCACAGACAGGTTTCCACAGTGTCAGGCACATTTCAGTGCAATAAATAATCAACAACTATTAATCTGAGTCAGCACACACATTTAGATCTATAGATATATTCTGATCTATATCTGATCTGATGAGCGCATTTGGCAAGCGTTTGGACACTCAGCCTTACCAAATTAACACAGCTGAAACCACATTAAATTAAATAAAATATCTAGTAAATAGACACACATGATGAAGTTAACAAGATATTTAATTCGTCTCCCTCCTTTTCTTTCTTCCTCTTACTCTTACCGTTCTTTTTACCTCTGCCAAGGAGGTTATGTTTTCGGTAGCATTGGTTTGTTTGTTTGTTTGTTTGTTTGTTTGTTTGTCTGTTAGCAACTTTACGGAGAAAGTTACAGACGGATTGACCTGAAATTCTCACCAGAGGTGCGTCTCAGCCCAAGGAGGATCCCTTCTGGATCCAGGAATGTTTTGAAGGATTCTTTATCATTGTGAGATGGGGCAAATTTTGAAATTTTTGCATTTAACTCTATAAAAACGGCCAGAGTCTTTGGTAAAAAATGACACAAAAGGATCTCAATGAGTTTTATGAGGTGTCAAAGGTTGATCCTGATCCAGACAAAATTCTGGATACTGTGATCCAGAACACACAAAAATAAGGGTGTCGTTGGAATTTTCAATGCTGAAACATAACCAATGGGCAGCACAGTGGTGTAGTGGTTAGCACTGTCGCCTCACAGTAAGAAGGTCCTGGGTTCGAATACGGGTCAGGGCATTTCTGTGTGGAGTTTGCATGTTCTCCATGTGTTTGCATGGGTTTACTCTGGGTACTCCGGTTTCCTCCCACATCCCAAAAACATGCCGAAGTGGGGTTAGGTTAATTCGCCACTTCCAAATTGGCCATAGGTGTGAATGTGAGCATGGATGGTTGTTCGTCTCTATATGTCAGCCCTGCAATGAACTGGCGACTTGTCCAGGGTGTCCCCTGCCTTTGCCCGAAGATGCTGGGATAGGCTCCAGCCCCCCTCCAGTGGAGTTTGTTTGCTCCGTTTGATTGGTCAGGTTTGGGTGTGTTTCCCAGCGTGTCCAGCAGACTGCTTGGCATAGTTTAGATGAAAAAGAAACAGCTTCACTGGTGGTGCTCATCATGGCAGATGTGGAGAGTAGTGGCAGTACCGAGCAAACAGATGCAGCCCAACCTACCCAACATGAGGAAGAGGAGGAGGAACTTGTTCGGCAAAAAGGACACAACATCAGTTGTCTGGAGATTCTGCAAATTTAGAAAGTTCAACAACGATTAAAAAAACAATACTATGCAAAGAGTGTCATGTGGCTGTTGTTGCTGGAGGTGGAAACACCAGCATAAAATGTTAAGCTGGTGTGAATTAATATTTCACTGAATGAAGCAAGGCTGAGTTTAAAAACTTAAAAAGAAAAAAAAAATCATTTTTTTCTTTTTATATACTGAGATACACATTTGTGTGATGCTGTGTGTGATTTCTTCTTTTTTATTCATACTTGCAGTGACAGAAGCCAGACTGGTCTGGCATTTTGTTTGCATTTGTATACAAATCTGAGTTTAAAAATAAAAGAGGAAAATGAACAAACGTGATGGTATGGTTATTTTTTAAGCCATTGATTGAATTTACAGGGGGGAAAAACATACCATGACATATACCGTTACTGTTGTAGGAAATTACTCATACCGTGATGTAAGATTTTGTTTGTACCGCCTAACCCTAGTTTCAGTCATTATTTACTGCTGCTGTATAAAAACAACCCAGTTACTAACTTTGTGGCTGCCGTGTTAAAGTACCGAACTGACGAAAATAAAAGACCACCCTCATTATAAGATGACCCCCTTGAGAGCTAATTGTCAGGATAAGACTTCTTCAAGACAATTTTTTCATCTTATATGTTGATGTTTTAAAAAATTTAAAATACAATTTCAGTTTAAAGTGGTTTCAGTTAAAATAAGCAAGAAATGATCCTGTGTGTAAATGAAGCAGTGAAGAATTGGTGAACTGAGGGAGCACAGATCTACATATACTAGAATGAATTGATCAGGAGTATTCCATTTAACTCAGCTCTATAGTTTGTGTTTCTGCCTTATACTTGCTGCTATGATCCTACTGGGCTATTGAAGGTCAGATGATCACAGATACAGCCTCTCATTGGTTAACAGACCAAAACAAGCTGTCAGCCTTCCACTATTTTCTCTAAAATCTACAGAAATCCTCACAGTTCTTATCATTAATGAGCACCTCTATGTGGCAGAAGATGATAAATGTCCTGCAGGGCTAATGCTGGAGAGATGCATGGTGGGGCACCACTGTGGTAGATAATAGTGAGACAGTTGGAATTGTGGGTCAATATATGGCGGCAGCAAAGTGTAATAGGAGCTGAGATGATGTGGCATAAAGAAAAACAAATAAATAAAAAAAGTAAAAACTTGCAGTACAATTGTGTTTTTAGAGCTGATATTTTACACCCAATAATAATCCTGGGTAATGACAGTGTGAAGGATGGTATCATACAAATTGTACTTTCATATGGATTTTAGGGGGAAAAAAACATCTGATATTAAGGCCTTAATGGTAATTAGTTACATGTACAGCTAACTTTATAATTACTTCTTTTGGCTTCACAACTCTGCAATGTACACATTCATTTTCCATAGGTATGTGGATAAAAGGTGAAGCATTTCTTCAACAGCATACCTTACAACAAGCCTGTTTAATCTCCCCCTGGTGAACAGATGTATCAAGTGTTGGTTGTTTGGATGGACTGGCTCCTCCTTGGTCTGCAGAGCTAACATACACCTGGGTCACTGACAGCTGTAGTTCAGTGTAAGAGTTGGTGGTTGGTTAAAAGTTTCATGAGATAAGAATTAAAAGTCTTGATTAAACAGATCTGAACTCACCACTTTTCTTCAAAGTTGAAAAAAGAAAAACACTGATGTAATTTACAGACAGGTAGCTCACACCTGAACAATCATCATAGTGTGTTTACTGCTTCAGTGCTAATGAAGGTACACATGTCTGGCACGGACATTTGTCTCAGCATTTTTAAAAACACAGAGTCATGTTAAACAAGTCTCTTTTAAACATATTCTTTATTTTACCTCCCTATTTGCTCTTTCATTTAAAAAATCATGTTTGAATAAGCAGGAGGCAGAAGCTGAGCAGAAACATTGAAAGAAACAACAACATAATTCACAAAGGAATATTTCAACAGAGCTGTCCCTTATTAAAAAAAAACACATAAAAACAAGTGTAAGAAGAAAATGATTTGTGTTTTTTTATTTTTTTGTTTGTTAATTAACAAATTTCCAATAATTGGTTTGAAAAGGATTTTTTCAAGTGTTTAAAAGCTTTCAACATGAGATAAATGCATTAAAAAGAACAAATCTGTTAAGATAAAGAATTTACACACACACACACACACACACACACACACACACACACATATATATATATATATATGTGTGTCTGTGTGTATATATATACATATATCAGAAATAATTTATATTTGATAAGAATGGAGGATAATCATTTCAGCATTATTGGTTTTATCTCTACAGTATAAAGAAGTCCACTCACATTATCAGGGGCACACCCTTTTTGACGGTTTAGATGGTTTTATTAAAACATTCAAATTAAATCATGATTTTGTTCACACAGTACAAGACTTTTAGACTCATATAAGAACAGGCTCCTCGAACGCAGGATATACTGTACATGTTTTTGTATTTGGTGAGTTGCTGCAGGAATTAAACTGGTTTGAAGACAAAGATAGTTATATTTGATTTATTAACATTTTTTTTTTTAAAGATGTCTACTCACATAAGATGGATATCTAAAACATGTATATTACTTAGAAATGTATTTATGAAAAGAAAATGACAGTCATGTCCTGTGGCAGTTTTTGTTGCTGGTGGGCTTCAGTAAAGGAGTTCGATACGTCACCACTGACCTGCAAAAAGATGTGGAGTTATAGTACATCTGTTCATAACTTAGAGACGCTTATTTTGGCCATAAAATATCAAAATAATTATATTTTTATGATATTAACTGAAATGTTGAAAATAAACCAACAAAATATGTCAAACAGTTAATGTAAGACAAGGGTACATACATTAACGTATAACTTTATAAACTGAACGAGTATACACAATAAGTGTAGATGTTATTGTCCATTTTTAATAATGACCAAATTTTGATTCATCCACATCAGCAGCCCTGTTACTGACACTTCCTCTTTAAAGCTGACACAGCAAACCATTTTCATGCTTACATTTTGATATTTTATCTGTCCTGGCTTCAAACTATGCTACTACTCCTAGTAGATCGTTAGTTACTGGAAGAAAACAATTCAAATATCAATCAATGAAGTTCAAATGTTGAGTTGGTGAATAACCCAGAGGAGCCAACTTTAATGTTTTTGTAAAGTCTGTTTTTATAAGTGCAGAATCGTCTCTCATTGGGCTGGTGCAGGTAGTTTGCAGTATTACAGTCTATTTGTTTGTAAAAAGATATCAAGATTTGAATATTTTAAAAAAGACAGTCACTATCAGCCCTGGTGTTTTATAATGGCAGGCATTACCATCAGTGCAACAGCATGTCAGAGAAAGGCGGTGAGAACTCTGTTTATTCATCAACCAAAATCACAATAATTCTGTTATTCTGTCATTTATAGATATCACCTGTGGTTTATACATTTATTTGTAGTGTATCACATTTTTCCTCTCTCTCCATGTTCTTTATCTTGACTGTGAGCTCAGCAGCTTTAATGGTGCAGGTCAGGAAATGTGTCCACCCAGAGTGGTGACCTCTCTGGTCATGATGTGTTTTGCTTCCTGCTACCTTCACTATACAAAGTGCATACAGTCAAATGAAGCTTTTTGTACCCTAAACTTACAAACACCTCTCTATTATGTTTAATCCAGAGGAGATTGCAGTGCATCTCAACACCCAGTACACCCAAAAAAATCACCTGCTTATGTTCCCCATCTTAGTCCAGATGAAGTTAAACGTAGATAGTGTAATTTTGATGAATGTCAGCCTCTCCTGGTGTCCTGTATTTTCATTGGTTTTGCCCTCACGGTTTTTTAACAGCTGAGGATCTCTCCATGTGTCTGTTAAAGAGAAACTGTATTCTTCTGGAAATGAGGCCCATTGTTCCCTCTTTCGGAGTGTAAACTAAGCCTCATTAATTAAGCTCATTAGGTGAACAGAAACCTGTTTGATTGGAGGCAGTTGGAGCCCTTCCGCTCGGATGCAGCAGCGGTATTTAACTCACCATATTGGCTGTCTGATGGCTGCACCTCAGGGTCATGTTCTGTGACATGGCTGTTGTCCCAGTGCCACCCCTACACACACACAAACACGCACACACACACATCTACATGGACTAACAGGGACTAACAGAGATCCTTTAAGGGGCTTGGCAGACCCCTGCTTCCCCCTCTCTAATCACTGTGTTCTCCAGGGGGTGCAGCCATTCTCGCTGCTCTTTGGAAAAGCTTGGCATTTGTCTGAGATCTCATTTCTGTAATTCATCGCCCGTCTCCCGGGAGCTGTGGTTGGCACCGGTGATGCCAAGTCCTCCCTCCTCTTTTCTTCTATCTCTCTCCCTCTTTATTCCCGTCCCTCCTCACTTGCTGCACCTCGGCCTCCTTCTTCGTCTCGTTCACCCCTGTCACTTACTTGTTGTTGCCCTCAAAGACGCCCTGACTGTAGCTAAACTGGTGGGTGTACACACATTAACTCCTCAGTGATTTTGTTTGATGGCTGCTCCAGGCACACATCACATGAGCATGTAGAGTGTGTGTGAGGACGTCCTTCTTCTCCATCTTTGGGTATCTGCGCAAAGATACAACCGAGGCTCCTAAGTAAAACCTAATGATTGTCTTATGGATTATTGTTAAATATTGTTTGCTTTCATGTATTTAAATTCTTTCACACATGCAAGGACACACTCAAATGAAGAAGCAATTACACATCAATTATCAGCAGTAATACAAATGTAGAAATTATAATTATGATTAATCGGGCGTCAGTAGAAATGTACATCTGCAGCTGCTTGCAAACAGAAAAAGACTGATGCTTTTAACGTTAGCAGATCTTTTTTAAATGATAAATTGAAAATGTTTGAAGGAAAATTTCCTGGCCTCCCAAAAACCAGACTTGTGTCGGATGTTTTGTGATGTGAAGCTGCAGAACAAAACCTGCCGTGAGTCTGTAAGTCTGGTTTTCCGTTCGGAGCTGCATCTCACATTTTGTTTATGAGTAAACGGCTGTTGGTGGCAGGCATTTTAAGCTAATAGCTGCTTTAAATAGCTGCAATTAGTGAGAAGCACGAGATATTTAATCACTCTAGACCAATTAGTCTGTAATCAAGTAGTGTCCAAGAGCGAGCACGTTTTTGTCCTCCACTGTTCCTCTGCAAGCACCCGCCATATATTTCTCTGTGTGCCGGGAAGAGCAGTGATTAACACGTAGGGATATAGGCCCCCGTGGAACGCTGTAATGTGGAGTTAAATCAGGGAGAGAGGGGGGCGAGACACGACAGCCAAACCTGTTATTGCAGTTTAACATATGCAGAAGGTTAATTCAAGGCACAGACGATGGCAAGCATCCTCGTTTTATGTGTTTGTGTCACGGTGTGGTGTACAAATTTGTCTGCGTTTCATTTGTATGGAGCTGTAGTACAAAAAACCTGATTAGATTTTTTTTTCTGCGGTACAATCAGTGTTAGAGGATTTACCTTGAAGCACGAGACAGTAGAGTGGTGGATAATGAGCGAGCAAAATTTAATCAGAAAAAGTGAGATTCACAGATCACTTAATCCCTCCTGTAATTTTGGGTTTTGGTTGCAATCCTCTGCAAGATTTATATCACAACAGAAAAATGAAAATATTGAGATGCATGCACAAAGGTAAGAGCCATGCATGAATACACTTACATGGACATACCTGTGCAAACAATTAGCAGTCTGGACTGTCCCTGGCTGTGATAAGACTGTTCTCATAATCATGTGTCTTAGAGACTGGTCTCTAAGACACATGACCTCAGGTGAAAAAAAAAGAGTTGACCACAGGAGACTGAGGCCTCCAAATCGGACAGTAATATATCTGACATGCTTTTCTACAGTCTTTGTAGCAGGCACAGCACACAGATGGAGGGGATGCTGCAGGTAGAATTAAACCTAAATGTTAGTCCGCTTTGTGGAAGATTAAAAAACGCAAAAGGAGCTGATCAAGCTTCTGCACAAGTCCCACACGGTTTCTGTCCTTCTGCTGCACTGCTGTTGGACTCCCAACAGGGATTATTTGGAAAATCCTGCAGCGCTAATGCTGGAGAGATACAGGATGGGGCACCACTGTGGTAGATAATAGTGAGACAGTGGGAATTGTGAGTCAACATATGGCTGCAGCAAAGTGTAATAGGAGCTGAGATGAATGATGTGTCTTGGGATGGCAGCAGTTAGCTTGCTGACTAATAGGAAGAATTAGACCTACAGATCTCAGAGCTGTATTAGAAGCCTCCTGTCCTGTTCAGGGAAAAGCTGTCTCCATGAGACATCATCTAACAGGGTGTAAGATTAGTGTGTACATGTCACACCAACTAAACCACACGTGACTCACCATTGTTTTTTTTCCAGAAATGTCAGATTTCTTTCTTTCTATGTAGGCAAACATGCTCCTTATAGTAAGAAAAATACACTGTAAAGATGCAGCAGGACAAACTAACACAGGAGTAACCTCATCATAAAAATCAAGAGAGCTGTGTGTAGCTTGAAGTTTCTTTCAGATAAAACCGCATAAAAGTTTCACTGAAGCCAAGGACATGAAAGGATCAAAAATACATCATTTTTCTTAATTGTTTAAAGTGTTTTCTTGTTTTGTTTTGTTTTTTGTTTTGCTCCTCGTCTTAAGTGCTTCAGCATGTTCATGATAAATAAAACAGTGTGCTGAAAAAGTGAGCCAACAGTGAGATGCAGGTTTAACTAAGTCAAAGGGTCAGCTGGTTTTCTCTTTCTGCAAATACTGAAAAAGTACAATTTCAGGCAGTCCTCTCATGGCATGCAGTCATCGTTGCTGAGGGCTGGTTTCAACTGTCCTCACAGGGTCCCTCTTTCTGAAAACCAGAATACGGTTAATCATATCAGGAAGGTCTGACTGTCAGGCCCAACACCTGAGCTCGAAACACACTCTTTTTTTCCATTTCCCAGTTTTTATTTATTTGCCTCGTATCACTCACACAGTCACACATTTTCACAAGGGCAGAGCTCGTCAAGGGCAGAGAAGCCCGGCTGTGACTGTGGACTATAAACACACACACACACACACACACACACACACACACACACACACACACACACACACACACACACACACACACACACACACACACACACACACACACACACAGGTGGCCGCATAGACTTATCCTCAGATGGCCACGGTGGAGCAGGGTGCCTGAAAGGTGTCTGTAACACCCAGAGGGAAAGTGTGGCTGGGCTTGTTGGTGACAAACAGACACCTTAACCCACATTTAGTGGGTTGATGTGGGGACAGCGAAACAAGGTCCAGCGTGTCTGTGAGGAGGGAAGAGCAGCTCTGTGGGAAAGAAGGAGTAAAGGAGGGACTGATAAGTGTGAGGTGGTAAATGTGTCATTGGAGGGCAGCAAATCTTATCCCAGCTGATGTATTTTCAAATAAAGTTTCAGTTGTTTTAGAAAAGCTCCTCTAAAAATGATCCTCGGGAATTTAGATTTTAGTTATTCAGCATTGCATTTTTTAAAAAGCATCTTAAATGATCATCTTTATGGAAATAAAAAAAACATATGTGAAATATTTCAGTCAGACTCCTGAAAATCTTTGGAGGCCTTTTTTGCAGATTTGCACCCGAGTTATTTCTGTTGACATGATTCAGTAGTCATAATTTTTTGTTAAACACCGCAGCAATAGTTCGTTAAGTTTTACCTTCATTCCTTCTCTTTTTGAATTTGTGTTTTTATAAGTGAACGTTTTATTTTTAAACTCCAGTAGTGAAGGAAGGTTATTGTTACTCATCAGACAAAAACATCAGCTTTGATCACCTTCAGCAAAATATATGAAGTGATGTTTTGTCTCCATGCTGTGAAGGATTTATTTCTGGCCTCATTATAAATTAATTATTCATAAATACAAATAATTCTATTGGCACTTTTACTCCTCATACTGTACACCTTACAGCAGCCAGTTTTCACATGAATGAAATAACCCACAATGGTTCCAGTGAGTTTGTTCATATATTTTACATAATCAGTTTTTTATTTAGCAAAATTATTATTGCTGGAAAAAACGATTTAGCTCCATTATTAATTATAAGTTAAAGATTTTTGTGTATTTGTTGTATTATGGGACATTTTGCACTGATAAATCTGCACTTCATGTAGAAAAGACCGTCCTGCATTAATATATGATTTGAATTTGCATGTGTGAGTTGAAAAAAATTTGGCTGCTTGCTTTTTAAATGGACAGCACCTGTTCCTGAACCCATGGCTGCCATGTGTGTTTCTACAATCCTGCTGAAGCTACAAGCATGTGTGTAATGGAATTAATGAAAGCCCACAAAACAAAAGCCTGATCCCTAAATCCTGCAAAACAGGTTTATGGACTTAGGTGACATCTGCAACATTTTAATATCTTTATCCGCCCTTTTACTTTCCATGAAGCTCACATGCTGTATTATGTTTCAGCTCGTCTGGTTGTGCTACCCCACATCCTTCCTCTCTTATATGGAGGCATTGAAGGAAAAAATAATGATTTCCCTTGAAACAAAATTTGAGACAACACATTTCTTCCTGGAAACTTTAATTATTTTTGACAACTCCTCACAAGCCAGTGAAGGTAAGGTTCAACAGTGCGGCTGACATTAATGTACAAGTGCCCTCTCACACTGGCAGGAGGGTGGTGAGGTAAATTCGGTGTTCAATGTTGTGAAAAATAAAGGCTTTCTCCCTCCTTTAGGTTAACAACAGTGGCTGACTCATCTGGGAAATCATTCAATGTTTGATTAAAGACATTCCTCGTTCAAGTACATTTCGCTTTTGTTCAAAAGAAGTCTGTTAATGTTCACAAATTTCATCAATTCATAACCAAAGTTTAATGGTTTCACTGTGTCAATCAGTAACTTGTGGAGTGAGCGCTCTGAGCACACAAATTTAACACAGCTAGATCTTGAAGTGTTTTCATTCAGGTTTTACACTGTAAACACTGTCAAAAGTGCTGAAACTCTCAGAGGGATTTTTCAACATGAGTGCAATGTAACAGAGTCAAATGAGGCCTTTAAAAAAAAAAAAAAAAACACCCCACAACAGACTAGCACCTACTGCTGCAGGCAGGTCAATGCCGTTCATGAGGACAAAACAATTGAAGAAGAAGTAGGGCAAATCATAAAGAACGAGTGTTAAACTCCACCACCACATACAGTCTGTACACAGGGAGAGCTGCTTCAGTGCACATTCAATATCTCTGCAATGAGCCTGACATGCTACATATGAAACTAGTTCAAAACACTGCAAAGAGTTGACTGATATCATCATGTGAGGACATTATTGGCAGAGCATAACCACGGTCATTCACTAAAGACTTCAAAGTGGAAACACAATATTTACAGAACAACAAAAAAAGGTTTTAATAAAAATATCTTCAAATTACAATAGTCTATTTTAAGCATATAAGTCTTCCTTTCACATACTTTCATAGAACATTTGTGTCTCTCTCTATATGTACAATCGTAATTGTCTCGAATCAGAATTGTTCTTTTGTACAGTATCAAACATTTTAAGGTTCCAGGGAGGATGTCCCTGTTCAACACAAATCATCTATTTTAAACAATAGATGTCCAAAATGTACAATGATTTTCGCAGTTTAGTAAAGCTTTAAACTGGAGTTGTTTGTAGTTTTTCACTAAGCACAATTCACAAACAGGTTTCATAGCTGTTGACAGGCAGGTGTCCAAAAAAACTCCACAGCAAAGGGAGTCCGTGTTTTCTCTCTTTAAAAAAAAAAAAAAAATCATAAATGAAAAGAATTTAAGTTCAACTTAAAAATGAGGAATTGTGTGTACATGTGGATTCCTTATTCAATAAAACAAAAAAAGATATGAGTGCTGATTTTATTTGGGTTGAATTCCTCCCAGCGGTTTTGAAATCCCCTTGTGATTGTGCCTCCAGTTCGGTGTGAGTCCCTGGCGAAGCTTTGCTGGCTTTGGAGCGGCTCTGTGCTGCCTGCACACCTGTGGAGGGGATGAATAGCAGCAGGGGGGTGAGCTGCACAACTCCAGACTGACTGGCGCCACCGACAAAACAGAGGCCATGCTTGATCAACAACCCAAAACAAACCAGGTCAAACAACAACCACACAGCACCTCAGGCTGTTGGGCAAGGCTGAGGAGAGGCAGCAGACACTAACAGAGAGACTATATGAGTTTCTACTTCTACTCTAACACACAGCAGTGACAGGCCTGCTTTTAGTCTGCTCCAGGCGTGTTTCAATCTGATGGTAAAGCCAGAGCAGCAGCTTGAATGAAGGAGTGAAGTGGTGTGAGACAGACAGACAGAGAGAGACAGACAGAGGAAGGAGTGTGAGAATGAAAGAGAGGGTAAGCTGAGGTTTGAACCCTCACTTCTTCCTAGATTGCTACAACAGTGACAGTTATTGCGCAAAGCACAGCTGCCTCTGAGGTCAGTGCCAATTTTGTGTTCCTCAATTATGATTTTTTTCTGACATATACAGGCATCCTTGAAACACTCTGACTGTCACTTCACAGGCTGAACAATCAGGTTACAGGAGATTATTCACTGACCACCACTGGACACATGTGTATCTGTCATTTAAGAAATGAATAAAAATCAAACACAAAAAAGTGAAGAACTAAATCACTTCAGTCAACTTACCAGTGCAGTGCTTCTATTTCAGCGGCATAAAATAGAGTCCTCCGGCTTTTTCACTATTGACGTCCTCTACATCAAAAAGAAAAAGAAAGAGATTTAGCTTTAATGGGAGACTGAATAAAAGAAAGAGCAAAAGGCTTACATACAGCAAAGTAGCAGAAAATCACTATCTGCTGTAATAAATTCTCTGCTGCCCTATTGAATCTCAAATTGCCCTTATTGTGCGCAGTGAAGTGGTCTGCAGGCTGAGGTACTTCACCAATCCCGGGATAAGGTGGGCCTCTGACACACACTGTCATTATCATGCAAATCATAAAGCCCGCAATCAAGTGCGCAATCTATCCCACACAATCGCGTTTTTGCGCATGATTTTTCAAGACTGTAATATAAAATACATTTAAAATAATTTTTGTCTCATGGACAGGACAATGACACAAAACGGGCATGACGCGCTTTGTCTGAGTCTGAGGCGGACGGCAGTCTGGCACAGGGAGCTACAGTAAACCGGGGTCCCCGGTAAGTCCCGCTGTGGATAGGAGGAATAAGACTTACCTGATGGTCAATGTTGAGCACCGTCAGCGGAGTCCGGCTGGGGTTGGAGGTAGGAGGACAGGTCCCGGTCCGCTGTGGTTGGTGTTTATGGAGAGAAGGGTGCGTCTCCAGGGCCAGCTGCAGGTCCAGGATGTAGTCTATCACATGCTGGAGAATCTCCACTTTGCTGACTTTCTTATCCTGTGGAATGGTTGGGACCAGACGCTTCAGCCGACTGTAGCAGTCATTCATGTCGTACTGCAGGCAGAACAGGTCCTCCTCTTCCATCCTGCACCGGGCGATGTTGACGCTCTGCTTCGACAGATAGTGCAGGGAGAGCTCGCCGCTGCTGGAGGAGGAGTCCTGGGGGCGGACTGGAGTAACAGCCTTCATCTTAGGTAACCAACAGCTTAAGATAGGCAACGAAAAAATAACTACCCTATAGCAGCGGGATAAAAGATAAAACTACGACGTAATAAGCCCTGCTAAAGCTATTCTAACACCGCCGTAAATGAGCGAGGGGAAAGGATAGACCAAGAGGCGGAATTCAAGTGTGTCAACACATCCCGTGAAGCCTCACAGTTCCTCTTGTTTCAGTAGGCTCGGTGTGAAAGGAGTGAATAGATTTCCTACATTTATAGAGAAGAGGGGAGGCGCCAAGCCAATCGGCTGACAGACGAGGGAGAGAAGCTGGTCAATCACCAGCAGCCCGCTGCCCACCGACCCCACAACGGAGCCGAGAAAAGGCGTGTCCCATTCTGTGTGCGCCGCGGCGGGCTGCTTGTTGGTAGGATAGGTGTGTGTATGTGTGTGAGAGAAAAAGAGAGGAGGTGAGGAGGATTTAAAGCAGTCAATAGCGCATTGCCATCGCTGTACAAAGAAAAAGCTCTCATGCATCTTTCTCTTCGGTGGGATAAGAGGCCCGTGCTGTAGATTTTCAGATCGATCCAGTCAGAGGAGGTATTTTATTTACACCACGCTCAGGGCTGATCAGCGGAGGAGTACAGCTTTAGTGCCGTCGTTATTGATGCGTAATTACGCACAGCCCCGCGTGTATCGATCCCCTCTGACAGATGATCCCGAACCGAACCACCTGCACACACGGTTTACCCAGCATACCTCTCTACAAAACAGAGGAATTCAGACAGGCCAAATGAAAACCTCATAAAATAAAAATACATCAAAATATAAAAATGTTTTTACTTTGTTCTGATGGATTTAAAATCCGTTAGTTCCAATAAAGCATTCTTAAATGTGGCACCATCCTGTTTTAATGAGCGCGGTAAACCTGCTGAACTTGTTTTCGGACTCACTAAAGTCTGTTTTTTAAGGAAATGTATTTTTGCTCCATAACTTCATCAATCTTCATTTTGTGGAAAGAGCCGTCAGAGCTCCGTACTAACATCTCTGATTGCGCGTTTTCCAACGTTTTCTTCTTACTACCTGTCCTGTAGACCTAAAGGGGCCGAGACAGACCACTCTAGCGGAGCCTCCTTACCATTTCTTCCTCCAGCGGTGTGTTATTGTACCTCTCACATTCCTTCGCTCTCGGGGACGCGTCCACGCTCCGCATCCCCGCTCACTGCAGCCTTTTGAGTCGCCCCACTGGGTAGACTGTCCGGCGCCACACGCAGGGAGCTCATCCATTCACACCCAACTTCTCTCCTCCTTTCCTGCTTTCTTCTTTCTTTCTTTCTTTTTCTTGTTACACAGGTTGCCAAGACAACAAGGAAGCTACACTCAGCTGCAGTTCAGCCTGAAGAGTGTTTTGCATCCAGGATGCATAGAAGGGGGCCCTCAGGTCTAGGTTGTGAAGACACCCACCTCAGTCCATCTTTGGAGGTTTAATGTCCCAAACTTTGTGGGAACCGCCACAGTCTCTTTTTTCATGAATATTGAAAGGCTTAAATGGCTTTAAATGGGTATTTTCCTCCTCTCTTTCTCCTTTTCTTCCTCTCTGTCTATCTCGTTTCTGTTGCCATGGGAAGTGACTGTTCAGCTCAGTAATGTGAGCAACAATGTTTGGTTCAGGGTCGACTTCAAAGGGGTCACTGGTATGAATCTTTGATGGGAGCCTGTCCTCTACCAACAGGGTGAGTGAACTCCTGTCAATGACAAGCAGATGATTGGCAAGGTCTGTGAGAAAAACAGTCTGACAGTAAACAGTCGACCCCAAAGACTCCCTGGTGCTGACCACGTTTGGCACCAAATCAATAAGATATAAATACAAACAATGTGCAGAGTCTGGATTTTGAAGTTTGGGTCTTCATGGTGGAGGGCTAAAGGTGTTTAAAGAGAGGACTTCCTATCAAAGGAGAAGTATTTCCTTCATCCACCAAACATTTCATCTCTGTAAACAAACTCAAAAATTACTGTGTGATCGTTTTTGTGATTCAAGACAGTAAAAATGTCTCTAATTGTTTTGTTCAAACAGTGATTTAAAACTGTATTTTACCTGAGTACAAATCCAGTTTTTTTTACATGCATTAAACTCTGAACCCTCCGTGTCCGGGTGGGGGATGTCACATTACACCATGGCACTATGGAAGTAGTGGCGGCTGGTCAGAAAAATAATAGGTGGGGCTGAAGGTTTGGAAAACAGAGCCCGGTAGGGGGGTCCGGGGGTATCCTTCCCCAGGAGACTTTTTTTTTTATTTTCAAAAGGTAAATGAGTCATTCTGGTGCTTTCTAAGAAAATAATTAAGGAAACAAACGATGTTGACCTACAAAGACAAATGGGGTGGGGATACTGTATTTCAACTTATTAATAGGGCATTATAGCCGACACACAGCCTACCTACATTCAATGTTATCCTATGATATAGAAACTGACAGTAGCATGAAATGTAGTAAAGAGCAGACCCACATTTATAACAAATAAGGCTGCATATCAAAGTGATCAACCATGGAAAACAACACAAACATTTGCTTTAAATACAGAACAGTTTTATTATTTCCAGGACTTTTCCAGGATGTTTTCATCCTGCCTTAAAAATGATTGATTTCTAACATTGTGGCATGAACTTTGTTTGTTAGCTTTCTTTTCAGTCTGGCTTTTATGTCTCACTATAATACGTGTCTGGTTTATATTAGGTTTTAATCTTTGTATACTCCACTTTTCTACAAACAGATTTTGCTCATGACTGTTTCAGAAGCCGAAATTATATTTTGCCAGCTTTGTAATTTCTTTTTTCACCATCAATTTACACGGGAAACAGAAAAGAGCCTTACTCATCAGACTTACGGTTAGCCATGCTTTGGGCTTATACCCTGCTCTTGAAAATGTCCGCCTATATTGTCTGCTCTTCTCGGTGGTCACCTGCTGAGCGGCGACGTCTGGTCGATCCGGACCGAGCTCTTCCAGCTTTAGTTAGTCGTGCAGAGTTCTTCTCCCAAATGGGACCTACTTGAAGGGGGTTCGCGGTAGTCATTCCCACGTCCTCTGTCATTAGCAGCCAAGTGCAGAGTGAGGGGCGGAGCGGCTCCGAGTAGAGCAGCTAGCTACGTCAGACGCACATTGTAACTATGCATCTGTTTGTGGCCAATCTAGTTATGAATGTGCTTACGTCATTCAAATTAGGGACGCTGGGGCGCTCGTCCCTGGCGCCCCTTAAGGATTTTTTTATGTGGCTAGGATAAGCTAACTTTTTAATGCAGAACTGTAACCTGAGCATGCTTGAGGGAGCAGAAAGCTTGGGCACTGGCCCGTAGCACCCTTAAAGCTAATGCACAACTGTGATCTGAGCATGCTTGAGACAACAGACGTTACGAGTTCGCCCCGGCGCTGGTTGGAGAGATCGCTAACAGACTGACATACACATTTAATGGAATGATTAATATAATAGCGCCATTTCCTTACTTTGAGAATAATTTTCAGGGAGACAGCAGACATCTCTTTTTGCTCACGCAGCTCAGGCGGGGCTCCGCCCGCAGCGCCCTTATATACCGGCCACCACTGTATGGAAGGAGGAAAAGACGAAGAAATGGAGCTCTACTCTTGATCTACTTTACTAGTATGTCAGTATCAGAAACATAAAAAAAAAATCTCAAGCATCCAGACCTGATTTTAATCAGATACAGAGATAAACTCATTGTAGCCAGTTTTAAAATAACATCTTTCTGGTATTTAGTTCAAGTACAACTTCATGTCTAGGAAACTTTGGACAAACAGATATTAATGGTTTGCAGATAGTTTAATCCCTGTTTTTAGTTGAAAATAACGTTAAGACAATGCTGCAGATTTTTTTTTCCATTTTATGAAAAATGTAAACTAATTTTGAATTTATCCCAGCCACTTGTTGAAAAAAGCAAGAAAAATGGCTGTGCAACACTTAAAAGCTGTGTAATGCTAAGAGAGAAATATATGTCAAATACTTTGAGTAATTTGTAACAGGTTAGAAACATGACCGAGTAAAAAAAGGATATTTGTAGTTAGTCAGAAGGAAAGCTAGGAAAAGGTGAGTGACAGAATAATGAGTAAAATGTCTGATAATTTTCATCTGTTGTACATGAATAAGGCCAACCAATTCAAGGTGGTCATTTTCAAGTCCATGGGTGGCACTCCATTGAAAACAGACATGGCTCTCTAGTAAAAATTATTGCATAGGTAAAAATCCTTTCAATAAAACATTGTCTGTTGACAACATGCATCCCTAAATAAAGGTTTAATCTGTGTGAAATAAAGAGGAAACCATGTGTGAATAGGATCTAGAGATGACTCCTCTGGGATAGAGCCCCTTTGACCTGGACTGTGGTGAGAATGAACTGTGATCTGATGAAACAAATGAGCAATTTTATTCAAAGTATGTGGTGTGGTATCTCCACCAGCTTTTTTTTCTTATTATTAATGCACACATGGGAAGTCATCATTCACGCTGAACATTACAGATTTTATTACAACAAATGCTGCCATCCAGATGACCCCCTTTAAGTACAGACCCCATATATTTCAGCGATACTATAGAGAACTGCATTCTGCAGGTATCACAGCAGGACTGTAGAGTCTGAGTGTTGGACTGGACTTCTCACTCATTGAAAATATTTGGCACATTATAAAATAATGACCTCCAAACTGTTGAGCAGGTGAAATCCTTTATCAGGTAAGAGTGAGACAACTTTTCACTATAAAAGCCCCCCCAAAAAACAGGTTACAACTTTGTATTAAAATTCAAGTTTTGTTTTATAGAAAAAACAGAGTTAGGAGAATCTTTTTTATGTGGCTTGAGAGTAAAAAAATGATGAGCTACATGACATTGAGCACCTGCAGTATGCTTGTTTTGTCTGAACTAAGGAGGAAGCATGAATGTACAGTATCTCATTGCCCTCCTGTCTTTGTGTTTGCTTTCTGGAGCTTCCTCTGTGTGTACTTCTGTAATTGTGGCTCTTCTGACTCCCTACTTCCCTTAAGGTTTATGGCTGCATCCAGTAGGGAGTGAGCTCAGTAACTAGAGACTCATTACTAGATAAACCTGATAGGTGAAGCGCTCTGTTTGTTGTGGCTACACAGTGTGAGGACAGGGATCAGGCTGATATCTCACAGGTCTGCTCTGGCCAACAAACGGCACACCTGGAGATCAGGTGGAAGCTGAGTCAGTAAGGACATGAATGGGAAGTATTTTACCTAACTGTTCTGTGATGGCCATAAACTAAGTAGAATCTGCTTTTCACATGTCTGTGCTAAAGGGATGTAACTGAAGTTGCAAGATGTGGCTTGTATTTTGAAACTTGCACAAGTGGCAGAGGTGGCTCAACACTTCAAGAAAAAAAAAGAGGTAATGTCCTAAACTATGCTGGACGGTTCACTTCATTTAAAACCCCCAGCAATGAACACCAGTTGTAACATATGGGGCTCTATTTTTGTGTCCGCTGGGGACGCGGCGAAGGGTGGCGGTCCCCGCGCAGTGGTATTTTCGTCTGGCAGAGCCTGGTGTACAGCCAGTTTGGGCCAAGCTGGGCGTGGTGGCATGGCAGGGGGAGGTGTCGACAGAATCAGCTGGCACAGTGACATTTTCGTGCTCGCCGGTGGCGTATAAAGTGCGCTGAAAGCTCGCCGATTCAAACCTGGTCAGCTTTCAGCGCAGGCGGAGCGCAGCTGGTCTAGTGGTATTTTGGTAGACCGGCGGCATATCGGCGTACGTCACTGATGCCTCACTGGCAGGTTTCCACAGTGTCAGGCACATTTCAGTGCAATAAATAATCATCAACAACTAATAATCTGAGTCAGCACATACATTTAGATCTATATAGATATATTCTGATCTATATCTGATCTGATGAGTGCGTTTGCGCATGCATTTGGACACTCAACTGAATCAACACAGCTGAAACTGCATTAAATTAAATTATACTATATCTAGTAAATAGACACACATGATGAAGTTAGCAAGATATGTAATTCGTCTCCCTCCTTTTCTTTCTTCCTCTTCCTCTTATTTCTCGCGCAGCTCGACCTGGACATGTCTCTTTGTACTCTCCCCATCCTGCTGCTGTTGCTGCGGCGGCTGAACAGATGATTTGTTTCAGTGATCAGATGAGTTATTTACTTTAAGCCTACATGCGGATATTATAATATTCAGTTTTGTGAGCCAAATTTATTTTATACGCCAACATCTATGAAAGAAAGAGCCAGGCCACGGAGCGCGATGCGTCATTTAAGCACAAATGGTTCCGATTTTAATGCCATTATTGGAATTTATGTTGTGATCTCTGCGCACAACCCACCTTTGTCACATGAGGTTCTAATATGTGCAACTTTATGTGTCTTTATTTGTGGAAAAGGGTGTTTGTCTTACCAGTGGGTCCAACATTATACACACCAAATCCATCTGTGCTTATATGAGAGAGAGTGAAGGACACCCTCTGCAGCATTTACAGCGACACTTGTTGAGGAGCTGCCTTCTGTCGCCATTGTGTGGCCTTGCTGTCTTCAGACATCTCTTGATCTCTTTGACTACTTCACGAAAATTGAAATACGCCTCACCGGTGGCGGATTTAAAGGCGAGGAGAGGAGCTGATGTTATTGGTCAATACAGGTCTCGGCTGTGTTAAACCCACTCCATGCCCTCTCTCCTCCCTACCTACGACTTACGCTGCTGGGAGGAGCTGAGTTAGGGAGGGGGGATACTTACGCCAGGCTGCGCCGCTCACCAAAATACCAAATTGTGCTTGGGAACGCCTTGTGGGGGCGGCGGACCGGACTTACGCCCCACATGCGCTACGTCACTGGCGAAGCACGAAAATAGGGCCCGTGGTGTAGTTGCAGTATTGAACAATGGTCCATGAAAATGCATCTGAAACACACAACCCACAAACTGCAAAAGGCCAGTCAGGAGCCAGATATGACAGTGGCTGTCATAAAATCCAGATGTCAAGTGAAAAAGTAAGTATTTACTTACACATTTTTGTCGAGCAGAAACTTCTAGTCTTGAAAAATAAAGCCAATGCAGTAGGGTTGAAAACTGCAATTCCCAGAGTGTCCACTTGAGGCTGACTGCAGAAGCATCAGACACAACCTAAACACTTCATTCAACACTCACATTTTAGAGCACAAGTAAACATATTTAAAGCCGAGTAAAAACAATTTTTTGTTCCTCCAGCTCAGACCTCCCACAGAGGTCTGAGCTGATGGACAGGCAGGTACACTTGAGCTATTATCGAGGAGGATAAAGGCCACCCTTCTACATTTCAACCAGTGAACAACCGTCTATTTTCATACGTCACAGTGCCGATCAGTTATCGGGATGCAAATATTGAGAATATTGTCAAGTTGAGACATTTTCAGCTCACGCCTAATTCACGCCATTCGGGCCGCCAGATTAGTACGAGTGTCTAATTGCGTCTTTGCATTGACTTTACATGTAAGTCATTTGCGTGAATAATTTTACCCATGCTTGTTGTGTGGAGACAGTCAGGCCTTCGTCATTTCACTAAGTACAGAACCCTGAACACATTGATAAGAACAGTCTACTGTTAAGTTGAGAGAAATGTTCAATTGAAAGTTCTGTTCTGTTGGTGTGGGCACTATTTGTTGTCTCTGTGTGGCAGGCCTGTGTGTTGTCGCTGGCGGAGTTTTGTCATTTGTAGACAGAGCAATATTTCATCCCAAATGCTCCAAAAGCATCCAGTTTTAAAGGCAAGGTCCTGTTTTTTCTGACTTAAGATGTGTGCAGCTTCATGTGTTTGGGATCCATTTGCCATCTATTTGCTTCATTTTGTTCAGAATGCTGTCACAGCTGTACAGTGTGTCCATGACATGCATCAATACGGGTATTGGCAGGGATTACGTGGCGATATTTTGCCATATTGATTTTATGAGCACACTGTTAGTATGAACAGATATTAGACCTTCCTTCCTGACTGACTTGCTTTGTATTTTGTATTAAAATTGATATAAAAGTAACATGGGACTTTTGATGGGCACTGTTTGGATCAGCTGATTTTATGCACACTGTAATAAATGATGGGAACACTGTAAAAGATGAAATGGTAAAAGGAGAACGAAAAATGATAACAGTCTTGTGTGTATGTTAGATATTCTTTGACGTCACCAACACTCCATTTATTATACAGTCTGTGGTTTGAGATAAATCTATAATTATTGGATTACTGTGTATAAATAATTATGACGCATTTGTTTATGCTGATATTTATATCAGAAACAATTGAACTGCTCTTTACATGAAAACAGGCTGTAGTTTTCAGTTAGTGTGCTGTCAGCTAGGATTAGATTAGATTTAAGAGGACGTCTGCAGACAGAATCATCATTTCGATGGCAAATCTTTTGAGCGCAGGTATTGGCCAGTGCTAAATTTCTAATCAGCTAATCTTTACTTCCAACAGAAGTAAGAGTTGTTTGGTTTGTAGACTCACAACCATACCTGCCAACATTTGGATTAAAAAATCCGTGAAATTTTTGTGGCATGCACCGAGCAGTTTTGGGGTTACCTTGTATGGTGAATATGAGCTAATTATTGGAGTATTTATGATTAAATTGCTCATCCAAATAAGTATAAGTGAAACTGTACACTTTTTGTTTCTTTTTAATTTACAATAACAAATGGTAATAAAAAAAATAACTACAATATGCTTTGAACTTATTTAGTCCACTATTATTAGTGTTAAAGTCGTCATATGTTTTACATGCTCTCTCGTATAAGGCTCTCTGAACATCTATGCGTGCAATACAGCACTCTTTCATCTGAGGCTGCCCTGAACGCATCGATGAGACGGTGCAAGACTATCAACGTAAATATTATATCTCGCATTTGTTTCCCTTTCATTGAAGTGTTCATTTAGCAACAAACACTGCTTAGATATAGTTTACAGTTTAAACCGACCTGAATCATCCCAAATTGTAGAGTGAAAGTATCAATCCAGTGTCTGTGAGGCTCAGCAGAAACACAGGACTATCTTCGATTGTCTGGAAACCTGTCAACTTTGGACAAACATAGTGATACGATTCATGAATGAACGTGGACCATGCAAACTACGGGAGATTCCAGGAAGAAATGACAATACCGGAGGTGGGCGGGAGATAGGTCTGAAATACGGGAGAGTCCCGGGAAAAATGGGAGTGTTGGCAGGTATGCTGACAACATGCCCCTTTATCCCCTCAAACCATCACATGTTCCAGTGAAATTATGACAGAACATGTTTTCACCCAGTTCAGCTGCACCCTGTCTCATGACTCATGAACTACTGCAGCTGTGCAGGGTGAAAGTCTGGTTGTGTTTTCAAATTAGAAACTAAATAATCAGTCCTTCCCTAAATTTTGAATCAAACCAACAGGTGAATTGATTTTCTATTGCTCTGTCCCAGGTGTCCCAACTCAATCCTAAACTGTAAACTGTATATGTGAGTTCGTCCTCTCTATCAGGCAAGGTACAGCTGCTGGTATCCTCTGAACACTAAGTGGTCGTGGCTCAGCTGTGGATGTGATGGGTGGTGCCCAGTTTTTTCTCATTCTCTCCAGGTGACACAGTTTGCACAACATGCCTTATTCCCTGATGGCCTCCCAACTAAGCACAACAGCTCTCTCTGTGTCATTTACACAGGTGCATTCACTGTTTACTCTGTGCAACCTGAGTAACCATCAACACACGCTCTCACTCTCACACATGCATACACACCTTCTTGCAAACATACGTAAATAAAACAGGAGAGATATAAAAGTAACAGATCTAAATGAAGAGTCAGAGGCAGGTGCTCTTACATTCATGTCTTTTGGCATTTTAGAAAATGTGGTTCAGAGTAAGAATAGCATTAAAACGAAGGACACTCCACAGAGACCATTTGTAGACAGGTGTAGCGAGTAGTACTAGTCCACCTGTGGGCTTTGTGTTTAGTAGCCATGATCTATTCTCATATTTAAAGTGCTAAAAGTGGGAGCTGTGTTCTGGGCCACACTCATTTAGGCCAGATGCGGTTCAGTGTAGTCTAAAAGTATTATTCATCGCTATCTCGCCATTACCACTGGGAGTTTTTCAGACGTCCCCCAGCTGCAACTTTCACTTCCCTTTTTTCCACCATGGTTACATCAAACACTCCTGACCTAGCAGTTTGGATGTTCGCTCAGGTTTTCTGTGCCCTGTTTGTACTCCAAACTGCTCGGAGACCAAACCACATGGAGGTGCAGACAGATATTTTTGTGTGCTTGTGTGCTGTTTTCTTTATGTTTGAGCTGTGTGTGTGAGAGCAACAACAGGTGTACCTTTGTTGCATCTTGTTGTGCACTGCTTACCATGTTGACTGCTACCATCAGGACTGAAAGTCTCCTCTTTTTAGGGTGAGCTTCTTACAGAAACTTTACCATTTCCTTATATTGTCAAGACATTTACTCTCTGATAAATATAACCAACAGTTTTATCCCCCAACCTTGCTCGGCGGATCATCCTGAAGCTGTATGACTTTATAAACTCTATCACAAAGCACCTTATAGTGCACAGTGCCGCAGTAGTCATTGCTGTTTTCCAGCCAACACAGACATCATTTCCTTGCTTAGTGCCCACACTGTGCAAACAGCATACAGACTTGTGCCTCATGGGTGTGTTGGTCCTGAAATAAGGTGTGGTGAGGCGCACAGGTGGTGTGTTACTATCCTGAGCCGAAAAGACATGAGAGAGGTGAGATTTGGTTTCCTTCAAGTCAATTTGTCACGATACTACCTTTTGCTGTGGGGCCAAGTGAGGGAAGAGGGAAGATGAGGACACTTATCCCTCACATGCCTGTCTCACCCCCGCCCTGAACATGACAAAACTGTGGCAACGGTGCCCACAGATACTGATACAGACCAGTGCCGGTCCAGTGCCCATTGCTCCGAATGCAGAACAGGGGATGCCCTTTGACTTAAAAATGTGAATAAAGATTTATAGCCAACCTTGGATGTGTGGCACACAAGACTTAGGTTTTTTTTTTAGATCTGTAGTCTGTTCAGGTGAGCTCAGTGTCTCTCACGAAGTGTCTCTGCTGTTCTGAAGGATGGTTAAACCTCAAACTTCTGTGTTTTAAAGCTTTATGATTCAGTTTTTTCTTCATATCAGATAAAGCTTTAGGATGTTATACAGCTGTTTGGGTTTGGACCAGGCTGAGTGTATTTTAGCAAGGTTCATGTTTCACACTTGCAACATTAGCACACCTGATAAAGAGAGACCACAGATCCATTTTTTTTTTCTTTTTTTAAACAACAACAACAACAACAGCAACTGTTTTTTAGATGGATGGATGATAGATGGATGATGGATGGACAATATCAGCTGTAAACACTGTTCAGATGTATCCACTTCCACTCGCTCTGTGAGGTAACCTTGTGTGTTTCTTTGACATCCAGGAGTTTTTCTTTCCCCCCAAAAAAAGAACTATGTGTGTTCAATCCCTCAAAACTGAAAGTAAGTCATGAAGACCTCTGCATAGGTTTGAGTGAAACAGCATTGTTATAAGGTGTCTTGTAGACCTGATAATTCATATAGTAGGCAGAGAAGTCACTGAGGATCTTTAATCCAAGTGTGAATGAGAAATGAAAGTGTCTGATTCTGGAAGGGAAGTTGAGTTTTCAGGAGAGGAGCTGATGCTGACACCAGGGACCAGAGTCAATGAGAGACGTGACCCTGTGACCTGCAGGGTCATTAGAGGTCTATGATCTGTGTGTTGAGGAATTACAGCCCGTATGTCGGTGCTCGTCTGCTTAGAACAACAGACTTCAGACCTGAAAAGGCAGCAAGGATGAAGAGAATTATTGATATGTTAGTTGATCAGTTTGGGCAGCAGATCAATTAATATGTAAGATTTCATGATGTGTTGAAGTTTTCATTTTCATATTTATTACAGATAAAATATTTCTCTGTGGCAGCAAATATTTATTTTATTCTTCCGTTGCAAACTTGTTTTTTCTTTGAGTTTGAAGTTCCCATACATGGCCTCATACTTTGCATGTCCTTTTCCCTCTTGGATAAACCCCCACTTTTCACAGTTTTCTCTTGAACCTCCCACCACCGGCCCCCACCTTTCCATCTGAACTTTTCTGGGAGGACTTTAGGTAAGAATGTCATTCAACACATTCAACCACGCGCCCCCAAATCTCTGCTGCAAACATGTTCCCACTGATTCTCTCAAAGAATTAATTGCTTCAAATAATCTCACCATCTGGTTGCAGTGGTCCATACCTACAAGGCTGCTTGCAATGCAGCAATTGGGGCCCATTCACATGGCTGCAATGCTGCTTTAGTTAAGTGAGAGAAAGAGGGAGAGAGATGTGGTGAGGCTTGCCAGAAGGCTGAAAAGAGGAGGGAATGACAAAGACCACCATCTGCTCCTTGTCTTTCTTGTTGGCGACCCCGGACGCCGGCAAAGACCTCGAATCTCTATGATCCAACAGCAAACCACTGACTGGAATGTTATTGAGCGAGAGGGGATAGGGTGAAGGAGGGAGGTAGTAAGTGAGAAAAACAGACTGAAGAAGGAAGGAGAGGCTCCTGCTCATCATTGTCATCCTGAAGTATCCTCCTCCTTCTCCCTCTATTTATTTCATTAAACTGATACAAACTTTTAGGATGATCAGTGTTGGAGATAATGTGTTACAAAGCAAGGCCTTACTGGGCAGCAGAAACAATCAAAAAGCTCTGACTGCATGTAACATTTGAAATGGAGAGACTGATGCAAAGCAATCAAAATTATCTTTGCAGCATTAAGTAGAAAGACTGATGCAAATAAACACGATCTTTAGTGAGACTGATGCTCTTGTAGTCAAAGCAGCTGTGAAGCAGACAGGTCCTCAGCAGTGGGACATCTTCAGCAGTGATCCAGAGGAACCTACAGGATGATGGAGCTCAGGGACTCCAGAAAAGACGGTGTATTAGTGACTCCAATGGGACAAGATCGATGATGAAAATTAATGACACAGAGGGATAGAGGTTGGAGAAGGTAGAGAGGGTAACTGACCACTGGACCTGGACTGGTAGATGATTCCAGGGGAGAAGGGCCTAATCACTAACAGATTTGTCACCCAGACCACTTTCAGAGACTTGAGGTGTGACAAACAGGCCTCCATTTAGTAACTGCATGAACCGTACTGATCAAACAAATATCTCATGACTTGTGCTTGTGTAAGAAGCTCAGAAGAACAAATGAAATGTCCCTTTATACACATGCCTCTATGACATGCTGACTGCTCTCACTGGATGTGTTTGTGACTCTGACTTGTTTTATGGAGGGGAGAGTGGAGGCAGCACAGCAGCTGAACTGAAAGCATCATTGAGAGCTTGGTGGTACACATATTAGTTCAACTTTGTTGCATAAAAAGGATAAGAAAGTGATGATAAAGCGTAAACCCTGCCTCAACCAACAACTACTTTCCTCTTCTGTGAGTAATGTGTCACTAAATTTACATCACTCTCCATGTGGACACAAGTGTCTAAGTAGCTGTCTGAGTTAACAGAATCAACAGAATCTGTTCTGAATCAACAGAACCCTCTGTTCAGTAGGGATCCATCTGCTGCTGAGCAAAGCAGCAGGATGGATTTGCAATTAGATGGACGCTGACAAACAGGGACATGTCAAGGCAGAACAGTATCCTCACATACATGATGGAGAAAATCAATCCCCAACCACATTATCCAGGTATGTTTGTCTGAAACACAGACATGTTTACATGTCTTTAGAAGTCCTGTTTCAGTCAGACTACTGCATTAAATATGCAGGGGTGCCATAAGGTACATGAGCCCACACACCATTAATAAAAAACATTTAGTACTGTGCCTATGTTGTGACACCACCGTATTGTTATTTTCATAGAAATCCTGCCTCTGACAAGGCAAACAGCTCAACAGAGTGGTGTTCTTAACGTTTTTTCAGGTCTTGTTGGGTTCTGTCCCGAACCCCAAAAAAACCCAAAAACCAACAATTTGACTACTAAAGTCTTAACTTAAACCATCATTTTCATTAAAACTAATCAATACTAAACTGAAATAGGAAAAAAAAAGTCAGAGTGAGATATAAAACAAAAAGTAATGAACATTTTAGCTATTTGAAGCCGGAGGCAGGGACCTTATTCTTGAAACAGTTTTCTGTTTGGGTTGATGTTTATAACCTCGCAGTTTGAAAACACAACAAGGATTCATGTGATTAACACACTGCATATAAGAGTTAGGTCTATTATTAATTGGCAGTTAAGTGACAAAAAATCTCAAGAAAATTTAGAGTTTACTTAACCAGGAATGTAACTTGTGACTTTCATATGATACAGGAGATAAAATCAGTTACATGTATTGTGATCATAACCTGTTGATAAGGTTTTAACGTTAAGCCAATCACTGATCTTCACCTCCAGTTATAAAAAATAAATACAGAAAAGTCAGCTGGTAATAAAATGATTTTGTTCGGAATCCTTGATGTTTGCTGTGACTTGTGTGCTTCATAACTAAAATGGTCATAACTAATCTATTCTTTTTATCTATAATCGATCTAAAATCAGAGCCCCTCACCTGATCAGTTCCTGTTGATTCAGTATCTGTTTGTTTCGTGAGTAAGAGTTTCCCCTCTGCTGGTTTTCTTCACTTTTTCTCATTAAGATTCCTCCTCACCATTCATTTAGGACTCTATAAAAACAAGTGAATGTGTGTGTGTGCGTGTGTGTGTGTGTGCGTGCGTGTGCGTGTGTGTGTGTGTGCGTGTGTGTGTGTGTGTGTGTGTGTATGTTTGGTTGGGGGTGCTGTGGTATGCAGTGGAAACAATAGAGGCTCAATGAAGGTTTCTTGACCTCTGGTGTGTGCAGTGTGGGCGGCTGCTGTTGCTGCCTCTCATGCTTGAGAATTGTGTGTTTGTGTGTGTGTGTGTGTGTGTGTGTGTGTGTGTGTGTTCTTTGTGCTGCAGGGTGTTTATACCCTTTCCACCTCCACACCCCTGGGAAGGTTCAACAGGTGTGCCTTTCTGCTCAGCAGCATGAGCAGTAGTAGGATGACCGAGGGGCTGGAGGTGGGCAGGCAGTAGTTCTGACCTCCCTCTGGGTGTCAGGCTCAGTGTGAATCCTGTACGTGAAATCACTTAAAGACCCTCTGCTCTGAGAAAAACTCCAGTTAATTCGGTATCTAATTACTCCATTAACACGACAAGTAACAGGACAGTCCACACAAACTGATGGACCAGCTAACAACACAGTCCACCTTGCTGGACCCTCTCTCCTTTAATGAGATTACATTAAAGTTCCTGGATGTGAGATCATGTGCAAGTCCTACAAACAAACAAACAAATTCGTAAATAAAAACAGTGATTTAATTAACTCTTTATGGATCTTGATAAAATTGTTGATTTCAACATAACATCAAAAAAATGAATTCCCTGTCTCAGGATGTTGGAGTGGGACTCAGACCAGACTACCGTAGTCCACAGCCTTCACTGCAGATATATTATTTAAGCTTACTGGTACACAGGGCTGAGACAGAGCTTTATTCTCCGCAACATGGCTTACAACCTCATTATTTCTTTCTCATAACTATGATGGACCAGGGGATCAGTTTAACTGAAGTCTGTAGCAAGTGGCAAACTTCAAACCAACACTTCTATCTCCATTGAGTCATTAGTATTATTTCTATAGAGCTGATATATTTTTCTGGGCAATTCTCACATAGAACAGGTGTAGACAAGTGTAGACTGTAGCTTAGTCTTCTGGTTCCATTTTCCCCCTTTCTGTCATTATTTGAAACACGAGATAACCTTCTATCCACATTAAGGTCGTAAGTGCTTTTTAGTTTTTAGGTTTCAGTTCAGTTTTGATCTGGACTTCAGGCAGACATTTTAGTTTGTTTTTTTATTTTTGAGAAATGCTTCGTTCTGTTACAGTTATTCTTGGTTTTAATGAAAGTCTCATTTTTTTGTGACCCTAGATTATTGTTAGAGGTAAGACACCCCAAAATATTGAGCATGGTGTGGGTAAAAATCAAAACATGATCTTATTTTTTTTTTTCCTTGTCAGATATAAGATATTTTAAACAAACTTTAATGGCTAGTCTATCTACACAGTTGCAATAATAAACATTATTTATATGTAGGTGAGCTCATATATTTCACACCCCCTCAGCAGTATCAGTGCTAAGATGGGAACACCCTGGTCTCAAATGTCTGGACACCCCGGCGTACCACAGACTCAACTCACAGGTAAGAGTTTGAGAACTTGACAGGAATGTTTGTCCATGTAGAGCACGATTGCTCTCCAATTTGATCAATATGGATCACCCATTGGCAATCCCTCTCTTGTCCCGCCATCAACACAAACTAATAAAAGGTCAACTCAATCCAGATCATGAAAAAGAGAGGATTCTCTTTAACAGTCAGGATGAAAATGCACCTAAATTGTATTTTCAATCCCAACACAGCAAAACATGAACATAATCATATTTGAAGAGTGGCAGCATGCTCTGTGGAAGTATCCTTTAGAATAATAATAGCAGCTGAATGAAATGTTGTCTCAGCATCGTAAACAATTCAGAGTAACACCTAAAGCAAGCTCTTGTAAAGTCCCCTTAATAATAAAGACTAATGAAGAGAAAAGCAATCATCCTCTGGTGTTTAGAGGTCTGACCAAACTTTAACTCATTGCCCCAGGGTGTCAGAGACCAAATCAAAAGACTTTCTCTGAGTTATTTTAGGTATTTTCAGGTTTTTATTAGGTAAATAAACTTTACGTGTTTTGTAAGACCTCATTGGTAAAGGTTTTTCCAGTTTTACTTTTCATAATTTTGTGAGTTTTTGTTCAGGCTCCACGCTGCTCAGTCTGACGCCTGGGGATGACATTTTTTGTATGGTTGTAGGAGGACTTCACTGCCCAGTGAGAAGGCTGCTTGCAGCCTCCACAGCAGGTGCAGCCTATATGATATATTTATTTTCACAGCCATTGAAGCCCTCCAACTAGCCTGGCCCATGGGGAAACATTCTGGTTCTCCTGATTAGCCACTCCAGGCCTGGCTATGCCTACCAGACTTCATCCCTCTCAGTGAAAATGGCTAGGGTTAAGTCAAGCTGAAATAGTTTGTAAAACTTTGAGTAGACAGTGAGATTTGGAGGTTTTGGACGGCAAAGTATTCCTCAGAATGGTAATGTTGACCCTGCATGTCTTTAGAGGTTGATGGCTTAGCTGCCATGCCAGTCCTCAAGCTTGTCTCTCAACATAAGAGCCAAGTTCACTGAAATTCCCTGTTGGTACTGCTTTTAATAGATATGAAAATATGAGTGGAGAATAGCAAAAAATGGGAAATTAAACAATGTCAGTCAATGTGAAGTTTGTTTTTTCATGTAATAACAAAACAGGGAGACCATGCAGCCACTTTCTGATAACTGGATTAAACCTAAACCACTATGAACATGGTATATGGGCTTTAAAATTCAACTCATACCCCTGACTAGCATCAAAAAATGATGAATCAGCCGCAGTTTCACACAGCATCCTGTTTTAGACCTTATAATGGAATGAAGATGAAAACCAAACTTGGAGTCACTGATTATTTGAATGTCCTATAGAAGCTAAACAGCTATCACACCACCACAGTAGTTTACCTCAGGAAATCATCCACACACCCACACACACAGGAACCTCAGTGATTTTCAGAAGGGACTTGTCATGGAAAATTGCCTCCATGGTTTTGAATCCGAACAGCTTTATTTGGACGGAGTGAAGCGCTAGGGCCTGAATTAAAAGACGTGGCGTTAGAGAGGCTTATTTTCAGAGGCTGGACTCACAGTCTGCATGTTTAGAGCCCTGTGCTCTGGGCTGCTCCTGGAGTCGTGTTTGCAGTGCAGGGAGAGGAGCCAGCACAGATGGTTAGGTACCAAAGGCAGCAGACTTTTTCTCATGCCTTTAAATAGGAGCACTCTCTTTCTTAGCTAATATTTAGCTCCTCCAAATGCTAATGGAGTGGCTTCGCTCTCCAGGGTTAGCATAACAACTATGGGACAGCCTTTAGATCTCAGACATTTGTTTACCAGATGAAAGTGCCTGCACATAGTAAGAGCAGAGTGGGAGAGTCAGGCCTCTCAGTACTGGATCTCCTGAACCGCCCCTAGTCAACTGCAAGTCACAAGGCTGCACTCTTTATTCCATTTTCCAAACACTTATTTTCTTCCCTAATGATTTTTAGAGGAAACTGTTGTGATACTCTCTCTCTCTCTCTCTCTCTCTCTCTCTCTCTCTCTCTCTCTCTCTCTCTCTCTCTCTCTCTCTCTCCCTCTCTCTCTGTGCTTTAGAGGAGGATTCAGATTTCCTATCATAATAAATGAAAGATAAAAGCTGGGAGAATAAAATATAGATGCATAACTTGAATAAACAGTTGCGACCCTGTCACACAGCCATGATTTGGAAAACTAATTCAGGGATGTTTTGTATGTTTTCATATCTTGTAATAAAATTAATGATACCAAAGTTTTAAATTCTATAGTCTAAAAATGATCAATAATGTGTCATAATGTTTTTAACACTGAATTTTTAACTTCAGGTTATATGGTAAAGAAAACAACAGCTTCTTGAAACTGTTACATTTCCATGGTATACAGTAACATACCGTACACCCACAGCAGCTGCATAAACGCACAAGGGGAAGGATGCTACTGCTGACACCCTGAACAAGTCCTCAAGGTAACAGCGGAGTCGATCAGCAGCACCATGGACCAAGCAAGCAAGACACCAAATAATATTTGCAAAAGCAGGTAAACATCAAAAACCCAAACCCTGGCTCCATTAACTTCAGAATTGAGGAAGAGAGGAGGGATGTCTTCAAGTAAGTCCAGTTGCCCTTTCAATGGAGAAGTGAAAACATATCATGTACCACATAACCCATGGGCTCATTAACATTCTACTCCCTCTCTCCTCTGTCCATCTCTCGCTCCCTCTCTCTCTTTCTCTCCACTCTCTAAGCCCAGTTCAGTCTCAGTCCAGTCCAGTTCTGCTGGAGGTTTCTGCCTGTTAAAAAAAGTTCTTCCTCTCCACTGTAACTTCATAAATGCTGGACAGCATTTCACTCATGTGGTTGAAGATGAGGATGGGAGTGGGTCTGATCTTACAGGATGAGAAAGGAAAACAAATTATGCAACTACAGAGTGCTCTGTTTTCCCCTTCATTTGATTCATTGTTAGGTTGAAGAAAATGATTTATATCACTATGGAAACACCAAAAGCAGAAAAACATTAGATCAAAACACAGCAGCCTTAGTTCTGATCAGGGCACTCAAATATTATTGACATGTTCCTTTGAGTGAGATAACTGGAGTTATTAAATATGCATCAAAAAAGAAGAAAGAAAGAGTGGCCTATAAAAAGGCTCACAGTACATAGCAGCATCCCCCCCTCTGAACAGTTTCAGGGGCAAACAACTCATATTATACTTCAAAACTGTAATAAAGCACTATCTTTCCTGCATCTCCGTAATGCATTATTCACTTCCAGTTGCCAAGAGGAGACTCTAGAGGATGGTTAAGAACCCACTACAATATTTATGTAGCATGCTGCAGTGCTTTCACACACACGCACACGCACACGCACGCGCGCGCACGCACGCACGCACGCACGCACGCACGCACGCACACACACACACACACACACACACACACACACACACACACACACACACACACACACACACACAAAACCATATCAGCCCCAGTTTGCTGCCAAGAATCCATATGGGTAGACTACCTTTATCTCTGCGGATGAACAACACCAAACTCTAACACCTCACAGATACTGTTAGTGTGTGTGTGTGTGTTTTTTTTCCTGCTTGTGTCCAGCTCTCTGTAGTTAAAGTCCATTACATCTTTAGACTTCCTCCCTTCCTCATCACACTATCACTTTCCTCCAGTGTTGGCCCACATAGTGTAGATTGTTTATGTCTGTTTCAGGATCCAGGCCAGCCATGACTTCCTTCACTTGGGATTTCTATACTAAGAGCATTCTCAGCCATGATCTATTTGAAAATGGGGGTGGAGGCACATTCCTCAGAGATGCTAAATATATTTCTGAAGAGGTTCAAAAAGCACATCTGATTTAAGAGCTCAGCTAAGTGCAGTACATCCAACTCCTCAAAAGAAGTGGACTTTAGTTTGGGTAATCATTAATGATGAGATTATACTGCATGATGACAGTAATAATGATATAGGTGCTGCTGGTCATTGGGGGATCATGATGATCTCTGCTCTGCTTTTTGCATTGGTCACCCTTGTTGAAAATGCCTGAGCCTGAAAGAAAGTCTGACGTAAAAAAAAGTTTACTGCTTCGTATTTGTTCAGCAGACCAGGAGGGACAATTCAGGTGAAAACTCCAGACTTTACAAACGTTTAGTTGTTAAATGAGTGAATCATTGCGGATTTGAAAACTACTACAACCTTAGCACTGACTTCTGAATATTGATTTAGTTAGTTTCAAGACAGAAAACATTAAGACTAAAAGTACCGACCTCTGATCATCTGTTGTAGTTGTAGAGGACATACGTGTTTTTAATCCTGTGACCGTCTGTGATTTGTAAAGTAAAAATTCTCAGCCAAACCAAGGACCATATTTCAGCACACATGGAGGTCCTCTCATAATATTTAGACATTTTAAATTGACATTGGCAGTTTTGTCTAACGAAGGTTTCTGCAGCATTTTTCTGTCTCTGTTAAAAAATTATCATATCGGGTGCAAATGTAGCTGTATCACTTTGTTACACAGTGAAATTAAATGCATGTACCTCAGTGGATATATGGATCATAACAACAAATAAAATACAGAGTAAATTGTCTCTTCGCCCTGTATGTCCAAAAATGATGGTAATAAAAAACAAGATAGTAACAGTCTATCTCGCTCGCTCTGTTTTGCAGCAGATTAATACATAATCAAATAAATACCTCACCAAAAAACTTACTTTGATTTGTTGGATTGTACTGTTCCTTTTTTGTGTTTTATTGTAAAGTTACTGGTAAATTTTGCAGGCAGAGAAAAAGCCTCCCATAAACTCTGATGGAGACCCATTTGAAGAAAAAGCAACTAGCTCCATCAAAGATCCAGATGTTCAAGGTTGATGAATGACATGCTTTACAGTGCGGGGAAAGGAATATTTTCTCTCCTTAAAATGGATTAAAAGCCTTTGTAGGCAACGTTACAAAACCTGACAAACACAAGGTGCACCATGTCACCTTATTAGTGCAGAGCTTTATTCATTGTGATCTTGTTATGTCCTAAAGTTTTTAATGCACATGCAATATTGATCTATTGACAGGAACGGCAGAGACTGAAACACTGCTGATTGTGCATGTTCCTATATTAAAGGTCAGTGAGGAAGAAAGTTCATGCTACAGTCTCAGTTTGGCTATGACATTGTTGAAGCAAAATATTCACTAAGACTTAAACTTATTTATTATACACTAGTCAAAAGAAGTTAGTTCAGAGTCAATTTAAGGAGGAATAATGGTCGTTAAAACTCTAAATGTACTTTAATGTAGGAATTGTATCATGTATGTATTTTTGATTTATGAGATAAACCTGAAATCATTGTATCATGTAGTATTGGAGCCAAAAGAGTGCAGCAGTATAACATGAAAAAGAAAACTGTAAAAGTGACCTGTTCCTCAAGCATCATGTGAAAAAGAGGTGGACATGCAGTGAAGTTTTCCTCCGTGGTGTTACTGTCCCCTGTCATAACCTCCCAGATCCCAATCTGAGAATGTGATCAGCTCTGGACGCACACAAACTGACTCATACAAGCTCGAAGTCACTGAGTCCAGATTCAGAAGCCTGATACTCTGCAGTCAGTCAGGGAGGCTTTTGTGGCTATTTCAGGGTGTTTGAGGTCAGGGCATTCAAAGAGCTGTCGGCTCATGGTCGGTAGAATGAATGAATAAGAGAGAGAGAGAGAGTACTGCAGAGACGGTTTGTGTGTGTGTGTGTGTGTGTGTGTGTGTGTGTGTGTGTGTGTGTGTGTGTGTGTGTGTGTGTGTGTGTGTGAGAGAGATAGAGAGATAGAGAGTGAGCACACACTTTCACTCACAGACAGAGAGGAGGAGATAGGGCTCTTTGTGCCGATGTGTTGGCTGACCTTGTGCACTCAGTGATGGGCCTGTATCTGCGCTCACACAATAGAGGAGCAAAATGGGATTCTTAGATACATCAGCGCACAGTGGAGGAAGAAGAGACTGGATCTCACTGATGCAGCGGGCCTCATATCACGTTTGTGTACCTGCGTTGGTGTCTGTGTGTGTGTATGTGTGTGAGTGTGGAGTGAAAGCGGAAACAAGAAGAAAAGAGAAACAGGGAATGCCATCTATCACAGCAGCTGAGAGGCCTTGGCAGGGCCTCAGGGTGCTTATTATTTTGCCCACAGTGTGTGGGCGAGCTGCAGCACAGAGACTGGTGAGACAGCACATAGATTTAGAGCCAAGGTACTGTGCTACGGTCAAGGTGCAAATCATGCGCTGTATTCAATATTTTTGAAGAAGTGTGCTGAAAAAACTGGAAAAGTATCTTAAAAACTTCATAGTGAGAAGTCAAGGGTTAGAACGGCTCCATGAAACTCAGTCAGAAACATTTCCACTGAGCTGCAGGAGCAGGGTATATTTCAAGGATAAAAAGGGTGCAGTATTATAGTTTTAAGAGAGAAGCTGCATCACCAAACTCCAAGTTCAATCCCCTAGACAAAAATTTAATGCACAAAATTGATTAAACTTGTCCAAGTGGAGGGCCGGACTAGTTCAATGTTTACTGAGAACTTGCAAATGACCTTGTTGCATGAATTGAGCCTGAAATTAACAAAGCTTCCAAACAATATTACAACAGTAATCATGAAATAAATTTAAAAAATCTGATGTATTGACTTTTTACCTGGAGCATTCCATTGTAATTTCTGGTAAAAACATTTTTCAACAGGCCAACAAAGAGGAAAAAAATAATTCAAAAGTAAAAGGAAGTGTCTGTAACAGCAAGACAAAGCTTATAAGACAGTTTGCGCCTAAAAACAACAACATTAAACATGAAAATTTAAGAAAAACATGTTGCATTTATTTTCTAAAGCTCTTTCTGCAGCTTTTCTGGATTAATCTTTCAGCAATGCACATGCTCCCCAGTACACACAACTTTGACCTGGCATCTGAACAGCAATAATGTGTTGAAGGAAACCACGACAGAAGAAAAGGGACATAAAATAGAAGAATCTGTAACATGTGTCATACATACAAAGGGAGCTGATTTTATCATTCACCATTCTGCTCATTTGTTCTGGTGTATGACACAGTAGATCAACTAGGAGACAATATCATAATAATAAGCTGAAAGACTTGAAAATAAAAGGCAGCAAAAGGCTGCTACAGGACATTTTGATTTTTCCTACAAGGAAATAATTTTGGGGATGTTGTTGGCCTTTAGCTAATTTTGCGAACATTCACAGACGAACTGCTATATAAATCTATAGCTAAATATAAATCTTACCTCAGGCGTGTAGCAAGCTGTTGCCCTGGATCAATCGGCTCTCTGTAATTTGTTCTCTCCTTCTGCAAACGTGGAGTCAGCTGATGGACCAGTTCTTGAAATTGTCTGAGGGACATTCAGAAGTATTGTTGGAATTTCTCAGGATGCAATTTGTGCTCCTGGATCGTTGTGTGGAGCTCCCTAACCTCCTGTCGCAAGGTCAGTATTGGATGCTCCCTGATACTTTGATTCTTCTTTCTCTTTTTGTTATGTAACAGGCTTACAACGTCACTTCGCTAATTCGCCGGTGTGTGGCGATCTTTTGGCTGATTGCGGTGTTCATATGCAAGAGAAAATTACCCTAAACTGAGTTATCCTTATCTTGTCCAAATCTGAGGGATACAGTTTGGTGGAAATTTAGCTGCACAAACGTGTGAACATGTATTTTTAAAGTCCAGTTTCAGTCAGAACCGAGCCAAGTTATTATTTTGGGTTGGACTTGCATGGTACCCTAGTGTATGTTGGTGTAGCCCTGTACCCAATAGACTTCCATGTGTTTGCCATTGATTGATACCTGACAATGCTCTGCAGACAGTTAAAACCATCTGTAAGCCAGTCTGTCACAGCACTGAAGGTAAAGCTGACAGTGACACCAACAATAGCTCTGATCAAGCCTGGACCCTAAATGAAATTTAAAGCCTTGTTGTCTGCAACTATCGCATCAGCTCTATTCTTTGACAGTAGTCCTTGTAGAACTAAATCCAGAGCCGTATGCTGAATCTGCACCTTCTGTAAAGTTCTTGAACAAACATAAAACCAAAAGCTGAACTTATTTAAGCAGCTGATGACAAAGATGAGAGTGTCTATTCTCCTTTACACAAGCCTTGAATGAAACCACACAGACTTATTTTCTTCTCACTGCTCAGTTCATGGCAAATCAAAACAATACAACCTCAGCCCCCTCTTCTGTTCCCTTCACCACCTCTACTCTCCTCATCTATCTGTTTAGCAGTGATGTGATGAGACAGGTATGGCTACTCCCACGCTGGATACATCTTCATACACGGCCGGCTCTGTGGCGCGTAAACCCCAAGGTCTTTGTGCTCCTCACGTTGTGCAGATCAATCTCTTAGGCAGGTTCCCAGGAGGAACACAAAGCCTTACAGCTGAGACACTACTGTCCCTCAGCAGAGAGAGAGAGGCAGGGAGAGAGAGTGAGGGGAGCAGGAGCAGAAAGAGAATGACGAGGAAGGTGAGGGGGGTGAGTAAATTTATGTGTGTGTTGATGGGGGGATGTTAGGGATTAAGTCTTTCTACCGGGATAAGGACTTGTCTCTGAGAGAGGGGCTCTTGAAAAAGGACAGGGTTTGATCCCTCTGTCTCCTCCCTCTTTCTTTTCCTCCCTCCCTCCTTTCCTTTTCTCCAATTTCTCTTTTGTGTTTTTTTCCCGCTCACTGTAATCCAACGTGACATAGTTACAGATGGTCTATCAATGCCACAGCCCTGTCAAGGCCCTGTTGAGGGACCTGCTGGGGGCCTGGGGGGCCAGTTAGGCTGCCCAGTGCCCTGCCTGCATGTGTGTGTGTGTGTGTGTGTGTGTGTGTGTGTGTGTGTGTGTGTGTGTGTGTGTGTGTTTACTCCCACAGCTCATCTGGGACCTTCCATGATGGCTGACACGTTGAACAGCCATGGCTCTGATGTCAGTCACAGGTTGTTTATGTGTGATATATGGAGCATATATGCTGCCAAGCTCTAATACAGGAGGAGTCAGTGCTGCAGGACTCTGAGTTTCTTCAGAGGCAGGACGAGAGAAGAACCCAAGCTGACATTTTGACGGATGGATGTGGAATAGTATGTTTGTGAGCAGGGGCCCTTCTGTGCCATCTCACCATGGTAATGGCATCCCAGAGGAAAGGCCTTTGACTATATGTCTTATCCCATACATCCTTCCAGTTCTCAGATCCCTCCTCCAAATACCTGAGGATGTGCTGCTTCCTAATTGAACTTGAAGGAGGAAAACACAGAGCTCTTTCTTATGCTAATCAAGCACAGAGTACAAAATATTGGACAGATGTTATATTAGAATGATATGGAACACAACCTATACAAAAGGACAATGGAATATGGTAATGAATATGGTAATGAATATAGCAATATACAAGAATACAAAGGTTTCACAGCAGATCAGAGAGCAGCAGACAGAATAAATATCACAGTGAATTATGGGGATTAAGGTCCGGTAAGTCTGGTTTCTTTGGTATTTTCATCATTTCAAGAATAAATTTATAACAATATTTTCAAAAGGCACTGTTTGTATGTGAGGCATGATGTTGCAGGATCAGGTGGTTATATTGGTTAAAACCTCTGCTGTGTGTGCAAGACCCTCTTGCAGAGTGGAGGGTTTTGATTTACAGCCTGAGACATAAAAGTTGACAGAAAATATAAGTTTGAAGATGACTTTGTCTGTAAACACGATATAACAATTTTAATAAGATACTGTGCTCACTTTAGATCCAGTTAAGAAGTACATAATAAAGAAATAATAAATCCCCATAAGAGCATAATCTTTACATTTTATTGTGTTATTCATGCTAAAGACACATCTCATTAAAGGTTATTAGTGGTCCTTAAATGATTAGGATCCCAAATGTCATTATATGTCCCAACAAACTAATACATAAAAACCAAGTGAAAAGCAGAGCCAGGGAGAGTTCTGAAATGAAAACATGATATGGAGAACAAAAACAAAGCAGCTGTCTTGCTTTTTCAAGTTAAAATAGGTTGACCTGTATATCTCAGTTCCCTTCAAAATAAAGGTGTGGAGTGACTTAATTTGTCTTTGTGAATAGAGATAAAAAGGAAAGCAATTAAGAGAGATCAAACTCATATAACATCAGTGTTGACTATGAGAAAACAAATACTGTTGAGTGAAATGATATAGTATCAAACCCAGTGATAAAGCTTTCTTAAGAGAAAAGGAAATAAATGATTAGCAATTGTTGTAGGTGACAGATCACCAGTGGATGGATACCACAAAATTAAAGCCTAAAGAATCAACATCAACAAGCCTCATGAATCAACATCTCTGTGACATAATCTCAATAAATAGTGATCAGTGATAGTTTACAGTCCTGTAAGGTCGCAATTTAAAGCAAGCATGAAGCATTCCTTTTACTATCATCATTGCACTTACTCAGGTAGAGACCTGAATCTTATCCTGTTTGGACTCAGCTGAATGGATGCATGTGATCCATACCACCCAAATGTAACTTCAGCAAGTTTCAGGCTCCTGCTTGACACTGTGGGTGCATCAACAGTTACAAATCTACACAGTTAAGTGAGGCAAGGTGTAGGGGTGTTGCGCTTATGCAAATCTACAGCATTCAGGGTAATATTTGGTTGGTTCTGTTTGAGAACAGTTCTACTGCATGTTAACATAACAATGCACTGTAAAGCTAAAGAAACACAGATATTTCTACCACTTGTACTTGTACTCCTGTAAGTGTTTATGAGGAATGGTGCAGATCTATTCATGCAACTTGAGGTGAAACCTTGTGGAGCACAGACATGGCCTCAGATTGCACTGACATCCTGATTTTATGTATGACCAGTAGTTACTTAGCCCTTTACTCACCTTAAATTTGTTAATTGTCAGTATTATAAATTTTACATTTCTATGTTGTGTCTGTAATGTTCGTTTAAGTGCTTTATAGCAGAGATTGCGGAGAAGAAAGTATACTCTTACAGTCGGATCTTTTCAAAATGTATGGACTTGATTGAGTGCTTTTGTTTGGAGTTTAGGTTCATAGATTTTGTGTGTGTGTGTAATATTGTGTATGTTTGACACCACAGTGTGGGGCGTTGTCTGCCACTCGGGGCCCTGTTGTTGACTGCCAGCGTATCCCAGAATCCTATTAGGAGCAAGTCACACTTGGGTGGCACATTCATCATGGGCCCTGCACATTCAGATTGCTGTTATGAATATAATTAGAGAGGAGCACAGAGGAGATGTTCAGGGCACTCACACACACGTTCATAGTCATATGTGAGAGCACAAACACATATGTCAGCACACACACACACACACATGAGTGTATGAAGTTTATTGTTGTGCATACAGAACATGATCAGTCAGACGTACATGTGACTTGGCATGTAAGGTGCAAATGACACACAAGTCTCCATGTGCACATCCTCTCAGCAGAAACACTTTCCCTCTGACGTGTATCACTCTGTCTTTTACACACTATCAATGGTGATACACACACACACACACACACACACACACACACACACACACACACACACACACACACACACACACACACTTATCATGATGTCAGACACTTCATTTTCACCCCAGAGCTCAGCGTGTCTCACCTCAACACTTCAAGTACAAGCTGGCCAGCTCACATGAGACCAGCCTGAACCCGAATCAGACTGTCTGTACTGCGTCTGTGATACAGTATTTTTGGTCTTCACTCACACTATGATAAACTCCCCGACCTAGGTTTGAAAGCCACAAAGGAGTCAGAAGAAGATCATAAGATATCGGACAAAAAAATACCACCCTGTGAGTTTAGCTATAAATTAAATAAAGATTAAAAAAAAAAAAAACATGATACAGAAACAAACATTACACATACACACACACACACACACACACACACACACACTAACTGGGACTTCAGACAACAAGACAGCTCAAGGATATCACTTGCCTATTTATTAAAGCTAGTTGACCACGTCTGCATATAATACAGTGAACACATTTGTAAAAGTTTCAGTGTATACACGTTAGAAATGTGTTTTTCAATTACACACAGGCTGCTAAAACTCACGGTTATTTGTCCTCTCTTTCAGTTTTAACCCAGAGGTGACCACTCCATGTCTCAGTTTAGAGCTTTTGGAAGCACTTCTCCTGAAAGCTGTTCACTGCAGGTCTTAAAGAGTACTAATGGATTAAAAGTGGGTGATAATGGACGGTTACACACAGGGTGAGACTAAGCAGCACTACACGGGCCAGTAATACTATAAAAATGCTTTTACACTTTGAACACTCCAGAGAGTGGAGCTCAGTCAGTCGCTCAGCGTGTTTTGTGTAAACTAAGCATATACTCTGAAAATACACTCACAGCTTTGACAAACGGACAGGACTCTGTGAGAGGACTTTAAAGCATAGTAAAGACTTAGCAATAGTGTATCATTACTGTCTTCAGACATCTCTTGATCTCTTTGACTGCTTCACGATAATTGTAATACGTCTCACCGGTGGCAGATTTAAAGGTGAGGAGAGCAGCTGATGTGATTGGTGAAAACAGGTCTCGGCTGTGTTAAACCCACTCCACGCGTCATCCCCTCCCTCTCTACAACTTACGCCGCTGGGAGGAGCTGAGTTAGGGAGGGGGGAAACTTATGCTGGGCTGCGCCGCTCACCAAAATACCAAAATATGTTTGGGCACGCCTTGTTGGTGCGACGGAACTGACTTACGCCGTGCCTACGGCGAGGAATGAAAATAGAGCCCATAACGGTCAAAATTCATCAGGATGGTATTTTCTCAAAAGACAGCTTTGTCCACAGGAGGCGCCAAAATTGACACAAACTAAAAGTTCCTCACAGGAGCTTTAAATCATGTAATCTTTATTGTAATGAACTGTATCATTCCCAGAGTTAAATGTTTTCCATGATAATACAAACATACCTTGACTGCACCGTCAAACCCAAGTCATCTGAACATCTTCATCACCCTCTTGCCAGTGAGGGCTTGTCCTTGTGGTTGAGCGGTGTGTAGAAAGGATCCCCTTCTTTATTTATCTGTACATCAAATAACAAAAATTAAAAGAAGAGGAAACAGATACTGATGGGAATTGGCTCATATTGCTTACGTACACTTAGAGCTGACTTTCATAAGACTGACATATCTCTACAAGTCTTCTGCAGCATCCTCTGGAGTTGGAAACGAAATCTATGAGTGAAAGTGTAAAATAAACTGCAGCCCCTCAAGTGTCCATTTGAAGCTGTCTGTAAGAGCCAAGGAACCCTTTTTAGTATCATGCTGACATGTCCAACTTTACATGTTTACAGTCTGGCTAAAGGGCCATTTCAGTAATTCTGATGTGGGATTGTATGAACTACATACTAGTGGGTGTATTGGCCACACTGGGTGCAGGTCAGCTCAGACCCTGTAACTTGAAACTGCCAGAAGAACTGGTTTTATAACAAGGTCCTTTTTCACCGGCATACAAGCTAGGCCACAGTTATCTGAAAGTGGTCAAGGTCTACTTTGTCATTGGGCTAAATGTTTTTTAGCACTATTTCATCAGAAAGTTTGTGTGTTTTTGGACTATTTAGGTGTGCAAGACACATATGGCTCTTTAACATGCATCGCAATCACTTAATTAGATCTATGATGTGCAAGCCACTGATGAATTTTTTGTTACAACTCATCTATTATGGTTAATAAAAGGTAAGAGACACAAAAGTAGCCAGAATAAGGAGCTGAGTCTACTGTCAGGTTAGTCGGTTGTAGCTGTTTGTTGGACAGCTAAAAGCCTGTCTGGCTTGAAAACTTCTCTGTCTGAATTAAAGGGGTGACCTTTCTAAAACTACATGTTTACTACATTTAACACAACTTTAAAAAAGTTCAACATAGTACTGAGCTGGCTTTGGAACAGGTCAACTGTTTACCAAAAGGATGACTTTCCCATGACTTTATTCTTGTAACATTTATACAGTACAATGTCTTTATTCTTAAAATCTAAATATTTTCCCTCCATCATAGCAGTGCACCAGAGGAAAATAAATTACTAAAATCAAAGTTACATATAGTACCCGTTGGATTGATTCGACTCATGAAGCAGCCAAGTTGCCAAGTGGTTGTTTTTCCATTAAGGACAATAGTTAAACAGTAAATCTCCCAAATTTGAAGAGCTGAGCTCCAGAGAGGGGTTGCTCTGAATGAAATGATGATAACACACAATATATTAGCGGTCGATAGAGGCTGGTTATAGAACTAATATTTGTCCTCACTCACACACTCCAGCCTGGAAGATAGCATGACTGGGTTGACACCCAGCTGTCTTAGGGCAAAAAGCTTCATTTGTCCACCTCTGAAATTCCTCATGAGACTGACGCAGAGCTCCAATTAAGCGTGTGAAGGAGTGCAGGCCGCCGTGATGGCACGCTCTCTCTCTCTCCCTCACACACACACACACACACACACACACACACACACACACACACACACACACACACACACTGAGGCTCCCTCTCTCTTTCCGTTCTTCCTCTCTGCCTCTCCCTCTGCCTGCCTGCCTGCCTGCCTGACTGCCTCTCTCACTCCTTCACTAAGCACTACCAGGAAGCTGGCCAAGACTCTCAGAGAGCCAGCATGTGTTTACCACCCTCTGAATGCACGCCACGTCGAGAGCTCTGCCTGCCATCTGAATGCTCTGTAATATCAATAATTGATGCTCTTGAGGAGTAGTAATTAAATTAGTTAATTATGCCGGTAAAATTACATGTAATTATGAGACTGGAGGGTATGTTTAGTAAATTAGTCTCATCCATGCTCACTGTGTATACTGCTGCCAAATTTTATTCCTTGATGATTAGGTAATTTTGATACCGTCTCTGTTTTTTTGGGAAACACATGCATCATTTACACACAGACACTGTCTGATCTGGATTAGCACCATTTCTTTTTAGCCTCAAAAAACCTGGTAATTGATAATGATGTGACAAGTGTTTTTGGCAGCAGTTTCACTGACTTTTACAGCACAGAGCTAAACATGCCATCATGGAAGCGGGTAAAAAAGCAGATTCTTGCGTCTTGTTTTAATAATAGTTTACATGTTGAGATATACTTGGATTAGATTTTATTTAATGGGTCAGCTCATTCAAATTATTTTTATTTTAGTTTTATTTTTGCATTTCCAACAATGATTTTAGTGTATCGGATTTAGTTACAACAAATGTTAAGAAATTTTTAAAACTTATTTGCCACCTTACATGGATATAGGCAAAGCTAGAGTTGTGCTTTTTAACATTAAAAAAAAAAACATTGAAAAAAAATGGCAATGACAAAGCACATCGTTGAAGGAACTGTAACTTGATTAAGGTAATTCACTGAACATGCCGTAAAAAGTTTTCATGGGCTGTAATTGTCAGTCTAAGCACTGAGAGGGATTTTCCAGTGTAAAATTAAGTTATGGTCAAACACACCGTATTTCCAAGTTAGACACCCCCTCTAGAGATGAATGCTGCCAACTGCTTGTAGACTGCTGTGTTATACCAACACGGCAGTCTACATCTCCACGCGCACACCTCAACCAAAAAGCCACTCTATAGCCACAAATAATGTTCAGAAAAGCACCTAACTTCATCAACAGTACATATAGGGTCACAGCCATAGCCACCAAACATCTTTTTAGCTTTACCTGATTTCTGTAGCAAAGAGACTAAACACAACTCACCCACTCTTTTCCAGCAGCCGCTTGGTTGTGGGGGAGACCTGATGAGTCGATCACCGAGTGCAGCGGAGTTTCGCAGCACACGGAAGAACATTTATTATCATTTCTTCATGGAAATGCAATCAGACTGAGACGCTAAGGCAGAAGAACTACTGCGTCTACAGTGCAAAATGATTAATATGATGATTATTATTTCAAGGGAATTATGGAGTAATAAGGAACTTAATTTTACACCTGAATATTCCTTTAATCCCTATCCCCATAAAACTCCAGCAAATGTTTAAATCCACCGGTCCCACATGCCCTGCTAACCATATTGTTTGTACCGTCAGCAGGATTAGCCACACTGAATGCATGGAGAGAGTGCCGTAGATCTGACTCCTGCTGCCGTAAAACACATAGCTCGTCATCTCTTAGCTCCTCTCATCACCTCTCTGAATGTGAGCGTAGTTTACTGCCCCAGGAGTGAACTCTGCTCAAGTGCCTGTTCATAAGTTATAAACCGTTCACCATTTATAAAAATATGAGCGTGTTCAATAATTGTGTTTATCTTTACTCCTTCATGCACAACATTGGCTCTGAGTCATAAGTGTAAGAGTAGCTAGAAAGCCAGGTAGTAAAGGAAACCTCAACAACCAAAGACGGATGTAAAAACGTACAAAAGATAAAGAAAACAGTAGAGAGCTGTAAAAGTGACAGTGTTTTCACTGTTTGAACTACATTCTATTAGCCTCTTGCTAATGTGTTTTGCCAAATGATTTGATATGTAACTCAACGACCTGATAGTAATGAGCTGAAAGGGGGCATGTCTCCACCTACTTTGGCAGAGGTTGACATGCTGCTGTGGATAGCTTTTTGCCCAGGGCATGTAAACTGGGACAAGGTCAGCAGTCTGGTCAAATCCCCTAATCAAGCTAAATCTGTAGTTTGTCTTACCTGTGTGTGTAAACATAATGAGGATGCGCAGCACACTGAGGGGCGACTCCTAAGCATCAGTATCTCTGGGAACATTGAATGACAAAGAGTTGGACACTTATAGAATTACATTAAAAAAATTGTACATAACACTTTGAAATTTACTTCACAGACTAATATACTTAGCTACATTACTTTGAAACTTGCGTTGTGAGTTAAACTTGGAAACTTATGAAATTTTTTGCCCAGCTTTAGTTTCAGAGGAACTCCAGTGTTTGTCCTCGAAGGGCAAACACACAGGGGCCAAAGGAAACCTCAAAAACTGCCCTGTATTTGAGCTCGAAGAACTTTTATTGGAATAATTTGGGCATTTTCATGAAGAAAGAATACAGTTTTCTTAATACATCTTTAATCTGCAGAAAAACGGTCATGGTTAGCTCAGTGGATTGATAAAAAAGATGAAAAGGCATTTTAAAACAGGTTCTATTTACCACTTACAGTCATATCACTGTGTTGCTACAGAACATGTAAGCACACCAACTGTATTTGTTTTCATGGACTGAACAAATGTTCTTTATGTCTTTTAATCCATAATCTTAAACATTCACATTAACAGTTAACATGTTCATTTCTATCATCCACCCACCTTGCTGTTCGATCTGTCATAGGCTACTTATGGGAACAGCCTGAATCTCTGTCCCTGGGTGGAGCTCTCAGAGACCCCAGCTCACCTGTAGATAGTAGTTAGTTCTGGTTATTTCCACCCCTATTTTTGTCCAGATTAAAAAAATGTCCTGTACAGAGCCCACTGTGGGTGAGTATGACAGGGTCACATTAGGTCATGGTTTACAGTCCCTGTCCGCTATTTATTGTCTATTTTTGTTTCCTTATTTTTCTGTTTAAATAATGAATATCAGTCAAAAGACATGAGGATAAAGACATAAAAAAAAATCCAGCTGAAGTTAGGTTTAGTGAGAAGTTTCAACAAATAAAGTCCATATAAAACATGAATAAGAATTAGATAAATAATTCTATAATATTAATATAATTCTATTATTAAATAATATTTTCTAGTTTAAAACATGATTTGTTGGTTATCATGAGATACACCTCTGTAATAAGTGTAGGTATGTAAGAATACAATCTTTATAACCTCCGAGTTATGAAAATATTTTCATCTTTTATGGACTCCATGCCTGTTTCCATGTCAGTTGCCTTACAGCCCATAGAAGGAGATGGGAGCCACCCTGTCAAAACTGAAGCAATACCAGTAAACCGAGTCTCGTCCTAATATACTCTGGAGCAAAAGCCCCATCTGAGCCATCCTTCTGTAAAAACTTGTCTAAATATGGCTGAGAGCAGGGTGGGGGCTCTGTGTCAATAACACCAGTGAACGCCTGCAGGCTGTGGACCAACTCTCTCTTGTTTGACTTTGTGTTATGGAGAGAGGCTTATCTGTAAGCCTTACCATATTGCAGCATCACATTTCCCCGTAGATCCCCTAAACAGCTTGTTGTGCTCCTACTGCTGAAATAGACAGCATATTGTCTAGAGCGGGCTGAATGCACAGACAAATTACAAAGCTTAAAAACGTTGTGTACTATAGTTAATGAGATTAAACTCACTGCCAAGGAGGCTTTTCCCACATTAATTGTCTCTGAAACATCTATGTGTCATACGGAGAAGTTCCCATTTGCATGTTGTGTTTTTTTAAAGTGACAGCTGATGTTATTGATGGTTTAAGATCACAAAATTTAAAGGGCTATTCAAACTTCCAGCAGTGCAGAGCTGTGAACGTTCGAATCAGGAGGTATGCAAATGCATGCACATTAAAGTGTCTTCATGATTGGCAGAAACACTGGTCCACTCAGCCCTCCTGTGGCATGATGGTAAGGCTGTGGAGGTTGTCAGGCCTAAGAGGCTGTCAATGTCTAACTTTGCCTCGGGCTGGCTCCCTTTAATTTATGTTGGTAAAGAATCTCAAAGTACAGCCATCTCTCCAGAGACGCCCGCGTAAGTTAATTGCATTCTTCCACTTGTTACCAACTCCAACACTTACAAACTCACACATGCACACACACACGCACACACACACATACTCACAAAAGAAATTGAGAAGAAGAGTCTTTTCCTCTGGGATGATCAACACTTTTAGATTTATTCAGTTAAAATAGCGTCTGCCTTCTCACAGTCCAAAGAATCAGACATTCAGGATGGAGAACAGATTCAGCAGAGACAGCATTACACACACACACACACGCACGCGCACGCACGCACGCTCACACACACACACACACACACACACACACACACACACACACACACACACACACACACACACACACACACACTCCACAATATAGATGTACATGTGTCCTGACAGGCAGAATAACAGGCTGATTGAGCAATAAGAGAACAAGTGACACAGAAATCCTCCTCGGTGCCTCTTTCTCTCCCTCATCTCACCTCCCACCTCTCCTCAGTCTGCAAGCGTCCTGATGATCATTTTGGGTGACTGAGATGTGACCTTACATCAGGTTTGAGACAGATAGAGGCTGATCGCCTAGTTAAAGGGGAAAGACATGTTTGTAGAGAAGTAGATTTTTGGGGGGATTTTTCTGTTCCTCAGACCCCGACATGTAGTCAGAGGAAGTTTATGAGATGTGAACATATATACAATTTGACTGTGAACCAGTTAAAACTTCAATAAT